TGCTTCAGGATGAACAACAAATTCAAATCAGCAGCTTAATTTCTACAAATGGATTGTATGTAGTGAGGAGTATATTTTATTTTTCTGATAACATTTGTGTAGTTTTATGTACCAAAAACAATCACAATTAATTTTTACATTAGATTTTCCAACCTCTCTGTATCCTTCAGAATTAAACAGGCTGTTTTTGTTACTGTGCCTTTAAGATTGATATATGTAAATGACCTCTGTTCTGATTGGCTGCCTAATCACAAAAACAAGGGATACTAAATGGGCTATTTCTGTAGCTGAGTTTCTATAGTTTGACTGTATGGACTGGTGAGTGAACAGCATGTTATAAACATTAACACAACTCTAATATCAATGAGCCCACAGTTTTCCCACAAGTTTTAAAGCAGGCTGTAAGCTGTTATTCTAAATGCTAGAAATAAAAACATTCTTCTTGTTTTTCAAGATCATCTGAGATGTGAGTGATAAACCGTATTCCACGTCCATGTGAGAGTGGAAAATATGACCACTATTGGGCCCCCCCTGTCTTTTCCCATGACTTGTGTGGCTCTATTCTGATTAGACTGGAAACTGATTTTTTTGGACACTGTAAACTCACGTAACACGTACTTAAAAGAGATTTAGAAGTTAGACAGATTGCCTCACTTTTTCACTTCACCTCACTTGTTAAAGTCAATGAACAATGTCATTTCAAGCAATGTCCACAAACTGACTTCAACTCAAGTAAATGTTTAGTTTTAAAGTAAAACAGTACAAACATTCTAAGGTTTGTAAGTAATATTTGTCCCATTCATTGAACTTTAGTTGCATTTCTTTTCAGAGAACTTAAAGGCCCCATATCATGAAAAACTCTATTTCCTTCCCTTTTTAAATAAACGAGTTTGATGTAGTATGTAAACCTTGTTAAAATCTAAAAACTTTATTCCACAATGGGAACTATTGCAGTTTTGAATTCATTGTTTTTGTGACATCACCTGTTCAGCCTGCAGTTTAGCTCCACTCATTCATGCCGAGTATTTTGGCCCAGACTGCCGTTGAATGAGACATAATACAGGACAGCCGATCAGAACAGAGCTCATTTACCTATTGTCACTGTCCAAAGAAAACCATGTATCTCCATTGTTTGTCAATTTTTAGTTTTCATCATTTCAACATACCAGCTGTCCTTTACATTGTGTAAAAAATCATGATGAATAGACCAATAAAAATGCTCTAAAATTACTTGGGACAAAATCCCTTTACATTGACTTACATTGAAAGGTAGGAGTGCTTTTGCCCTGTCCTGTAAAGTTATTATTTCGGAGATGCTTGTTTTTCATTCGACAGTGGTGATATAACACTATTAAAGGCACAGTAACAAAAACAGCATGTTTAATCCTGAAGGGTAAATCTCTATGTAAAATGAATAATGATACATAAAACTACACAAACATTGTGAGAAAAAAAATAAAAGAACGTGGAAGTTATGGGCTCCTTATATTCTTTCAGTAAAATCACAATTTCTTAAAAATAAAAGTACACAGTTTTCATAAATAACATCTGTTTTCCAGAAGTGTTAGACAAATGTGCCTGTTCTCCTCTCAGCATGTGGAGATGGATGTGGTAACAGTACGATGGCAGTCAGTGACCTCTAGGGGCAGCTAGAATAAATGTTTCTGATAATTCCTGATGAGTATGTTGTCTTTTAAAGGCAGCATCTAATCTCTTATCAGTTGGAATATTATTATTTAAACAGGTTATGTGCTGTCTAAGTTGCTTATTTGAGTGATTCTGTAATTGAATGCATTCTAAGTAATTAAACTCATGCATCTCCAAGTGAACAGGATAAAATAATGTCTGCATATGTGGATGAATCTGCAAGAAAGAATAAATACAGAGACTGACTGTAATAAATGGCACTGATTTACTTTCTCATAAACCAACCAGAGATAAGCTGACTAAGAATTTGAATGTACACATTTGACTATAGATATGTGACCACTAAACCGAAAATTTCCTGCCAAGCTTCTCCTGTGTTTATACAGTGTTACAGATGTTTGGTTGTTTTAGTTTCAGCATTTAGAAATTATAGCACTTACAGTTTAGTTCTAAGACTTTTGACCACAGTTTGTGGGCAGTGTGTTAACAGTGAATCGCTAAAGTCTACATCTGCTTCAAGTAAATAAAGCACTTTATAAACCAAATGCTCAAACACCTTCTAAGAGCTTTTTATATAGAGCAGACAAACAACTGCTGGCATACTGTGAGCATCCATTTTTCTGATCTCAAACAGCTGAATTTGCTCGAACACTTAGATTCATGAAGCTCCCATTTGTCAGGAACGTAGCAAAAGAGCCTCATATCTAAAATCAGATCAGTTTGTGTAATTAGAATTGATTCAGTTTAGTTTTTTTGTGTTTTTGTTTTTTATATCTTAGAAATATGTTGTTGCATTGTTACATAGATATATGGGCAAAATTAGACAAACATATCACTGCTGTTAGAAGAAAACCTCATATCTCCATTTTTGCTGTTTTTTAGTTTTTGGTCTAATTTGAAAAGGCCTGTTGCTCTTTAAATTGTGTGTAAATTTCATGATGAATGGACTGAAAAAAATGGCCCAAAATGACTTGGAAAAATCGTCTGGTTCCATTGACTTACATTGAAAGTAAAGTACGTTTTATACTTTTCCTGTAATCATTTTGGAGATACAAGGTTTTCTTCCGATAACAGCTATATAAAATATGCTGACACAAAAATAATAACAAAAGCATTAGCTCTTATAACTAACAAAAAAGTAACAGGATCACACTTTTCTTAAAACGAAATAAAAAAATCCAATGATTGCTCTACCTTTCGTCCCATTTCACTAATCAGGTCAGAAATAAAAATCATAAGTAAGGGTTTATCTATTAGATCAGAATCAATGATATCCAATCTCATAAGCACAGATCAAACTGGGTTCATTAAATGCAGACAGTCCTCAGAGAATACACGTAGACTATTAAAGCTAATTCAGAAATATAACAGTGAAAACTCTCCAAATGTATCACTGTGTATAATAGCATCCCTGAATGCTGAAAAGGTGTTTGATAGGGTAGAGTGGTCCTTTCTCTTCACCTCTCTTAAACACTTCAGATTCTGCCCACATTTCATCACCTGGATAAAAACATTACACAACTCACTTTCTGCCGCTGTCTCAACAAATAGACACATATCCAAACCCTTTCGGTTACAAAGAGGAAGTCAACAAGAATGTGCTTTATCACCCAATTCGTTTTGTCATTTTATTGAACCCTTGGCTGCTTCCATCAGACAGTGTGATAAAATCTCAGGTATACAAAGTCCTACCACCATAAAATCAGTCTCTATGCAGAAGATGTTTTACTATATATCACTAATCCTTCACTGTCCCTCCCATCAGTCCATGATCTAATTAACAAATATAGCAGGGTGTCTGGCTGCTCCATTAATTGGTCTAAATCTGAGTTTCTGCCTCAGCTGGGATGGCGGAAGCCAAGATATGCCATCTATCACACAATCTAAATATTAAATATCTTGGTATTCATGTTTTTTAAACATAAATGATTTGTAGAAACGTAAGTATATACCTTTAATGCAAGAAATAAAGGATAATCTAGAAAAATGGAACAAACTACCACTATCTCTAATTGGCCAAATCTCAGCAGTTAAAATGAATAGTCTCCCATAAAATCAATGATCTGTTCTCTATGACCCCTGTTACCCCACCGTCAGGCAAGTTCTCCTCTCTCGACAGTGTAATCACTAAGTTCTACTGGAAACACCAAAAGCCTTGAATCAAATTAGCTACCCTCCAAAAGCCTGAACATCTTGGAGGACTTGAACCCCCTAAATTTCTATTACTACTTTCTATCACACCAACTGCTTTACATCAGACATTGGACAAGTAACTCAGGCCAACCGTGGTTAGACATTGAGGAAAGTATTTGATGAAGCAATGAAGTATTTCACATCATACGACTCTAAAAAACTTTGTTTACATCTGAATGATTGGATGATGGAGAATTTTTGCTAATTGTTTTTTTGTGTGTGTGTGTTATTTCAAAGCCTGTCATTATTATTATTATTATTATTAGTAGTAGTAGTAGTAGTAGTGGTAGTAGTAGTGGTAGTAGTAGTAGTAGTAGTATTTGCTTTTAATGTTTTACAAGCCTACTTCTTTTGTATTTTTTATTTTCATTCATTTCTGCGAGGTAGGCATGAAACTTTTTGGATGTCTGGTTCCTATCACCACCACTGTGAGTCTAGAACAGAGCATTTCACATCAAACCACTCTGAATGACTCTGCTTACATCCTAATGATTTAATTATGCAGTAATTTTGAACAATCAGTGGAGTTTCCCTTTATTTCTCCCTTATCTACACTACAACTGAGGATTCCTCTCAACGTAACCCAAGGTTAAATAAAATGATGTTTTAAAAGAATACACAGTATTATTATATAGTATAGTATTATGTTTAAATGTCAGTAGCTGTTCACAGACGTCGTCGGCAGCGTATTCATAATCACTAAATTTAATGACCTTTTTTTGAGGTAGGCATGGAACTCTTCAGACGTCTGGTTCCTATCACCACCACTGTGAACAATTCCGATTCAGTCCCTTCTCTAGAACAGAGCATTTCACACCAAACCACTCTGAATGACTTTGTTTACTTCTGAACCATTTAATTATGCAGAAATTCTGAACAGTCGGTGGAGTTCCCCTTTAATTTCTACATTGCAAATGAGGATTCCTCTTAATGTAAACCGGAGCTCAAATAACGTGGCGTCTTAAAAGAACAGGCGGTGTTACATTTAGAAGTCAGAAGCTGATCCCAGAGCAGCTTTTTCATTCAGAGAAGTGTGGTGAAATATGCGCCCTGGAGCGGCACTGCTGGACACAGCTTCAGGGGCCGGTGTGTGTCACTTTAAAGAAAATCGTCATCTGATATCTGACCTCCGGCCTACGTTTCCCAGCATGCACCACGACCGCTTTGATACCTTGTAACTCAATGGCGGGTATTTCCACGCGACTCGTGCGGCAATAAAATAATTGTAGTTGAAAATTCACTGAATATAAACTGACCTTAAGAAACGGTCAGGTTGTTTGCACTTACCTAGACGCGTTTTCTACATTTGTTTTGCTTTTTGAACCGGAGAATATGTGAAGAAGTTGGTATTCTAGTAGTGAATTAACGGTCGCGGCTACTGAGGAGACTGGAAGTTTGTATGAGCTACTTATTTTACCTCAAAGCGCCGCAGTCGGGCTCTCATTTACAACTTTTATTCTCGTTTCGACTTGGACATGCTGACCATGTGCAGTGGACAGTGTATGACAGGCTGCAGGCGCCCACGTTTCTCTCACGTTTGAGATAAGTCTGAGTTTTGACCTCTGTGTGGTTGCATTAGAGTGAATTTGAAGCTATAATAAGTAGCAATAATGGCGAAATGTGAAGCTGTCGTGTTCCTGTTGGTGCTCTTCTGCCACTGCTACTGCTCTAAAGCTGCTAAGCTGAATATCCCCAAAGTCCTGCTACCTCTTGCCAGAAGTACGAAAATCAACTTTACACTGGAGGCCACTGAAGGGTGCTACAGATGGTAAGTGGGAGATATGAGACCCCCTCAGTAGAAAAAAAAAGGTGGGCAGTAACCAATTAAAGATAGTTCAGTGGAGTTAAGTGACCATTTTGAATATTCTGAGTATTTTTATATGATACTTTCACTTCTACTTCTACTCAGGTGTATGTGTGAAGTAAGGTTTACTTTCCCTCAGCTTCATTACAGTTCTTCACATTTAGTTCTTAAAGGGGTTTTCTGCACGATTCCAACAGTAGGATGTAAACAAAGTCATGCACAGTGGTGTGAAATGCTCTGTCCTTGCCAAGTCAGACTTGTTCACAGTGGTGGTGATAGGAACCAGACGTCTGAAGACGTCTTTAATTCCTTTTTCTGAGTTTAATTTCATTCTGTTAGAGCTTAAACTTCAGTTCCTAGGCTGATAGATGCTGGATGTTCTGCAGTCCTTTGGGAAACTCAGTAATGGAGTTGATCACATCTGATACTTTTCTTCACTTTTCAAGTTGAAGTACTTCTAATTCAGTCATTCATTCATTATTTCATTGACCGAATAAGATGTTTACTTTGACTTCAGAAAGGTCATTGTGCTCTCACTGCGTAAGGATCTTTTATAAGTAATAAGCCTGCATATTCTGTTCTTGATCAGTTTGTTGTGCAATATTGGCTTACTGTCACCACTGAAACAAGGCCAGGCATGTGTGTCTGTCCGTCTTCTGGATGTGATGCCTCATTTCCTGTGGCACTTTCAAATCTTTCAAATGTAGGTGTAGCCCGCTACAGACATGATAGGCTGCAGATTCACATCCTTATTGTCATGCGCAGAGAAACAGGTTGCACTGTACGATGAAATTCTTACTGCATATATACATACCAGGTGCCATCATAAAAATAAAAAAATCAGCCAGAACTTATTTAATGTGCAGGGCATTCATGTCAACTTTTTAAACGATTTTTTGCCATACTAGACCTTAGCTTTACTCGATACTTCATTTTCATAGTACACAATATACGTCACAATATTTAGGCTTTCTAATGTTTGAAAAGATGAAGCCTCAGCAGTGCCACATTTAAAAATACTATTAAACTGTAAACTTGATTTTATTGTTTCACATACAGTGCTGGTAAATACTGTTAAACAAGACCAATTATTCTGTTTTTGTAATGAAACATACAGCTGATCAGTGCTGATATCTACAATATGGTCAAAAAGCTTAGTGTGATGTAATGTGGCTTAAATCTTTACTGTAAACTATAAATAACTATAAATATCATCAGGGACATGGAATGTCTGATTTAAAGATTACATCCGTTAAAACTTTATAATAATTTAAGCATAATAAAGACTCATGTGCTTGTGTCAGAGTAGAGTTTGTATTTTTTATATTTTCAGTGTATATTTACAGTAGCATGCATTGTTTAAGTGAATGCTGTATTTTCATTACAGTGAGCTAAAAAACTGATGACTGCTTTGGGGTCGTTGCTAAAACATACACGAGTTGAAGTACAAAGAGGGAAAGTCTGTGCAGTCTGTATATATCATCCTCTTTTGCCTCAATATAGCACTGTGTGACACATTCTGTAAATTAGTTATCCTGCTGCAAAGATGATTCGTGAAATGGCTAAGGGACATCAGTGTTAGAAGAAGCAGTCCATTTGCTCTGCTATGTCAGGGTCCGGCAAAGGAGAAAAGTGTGGAACATCATAAAAATAGTCTTTGAGTTTGTCATAATATAGGTTAAAATAAATCTGTTGTTGTTGATCTGCAGGTCCTCGAACAGACCGGAAGTGGCCAGTATTGAGGCTGTGGATGTGGACGAGCGTCAGTGTTCCCACAGAGCTGTGCTTCAGGCCCGCTCCACGCAGCCCTCCAGACTGACCAGTATTATCTTAGCTGAGGACATTGGTGAGTAAAACCTACTCTTTAGAGTCCTTCTTTAGTTTTGCATTGGAGCTACAAAGCTAATTTAGCTATCAAGTAATAGTACTGTATATCTTATGAGTTAGCATCATGCTAACTGCATGCCTAAATCATCATATACTTGCCTCAAACTGTGTTGTTAATCTTGCTTATGTGGTTTCTGACACTAAAACATACATTAAAAGTGGACAAATTATGTTGCTTAGCTAAAAACAATAGTAGCAGCTGCTCTGGAGACTGAAATTTGTCCAGTTTTGTGGACAACATTATATCGTGTTGGAAAGCTCCAGCGCAAAACTAAAGAAGCAAATCTTGGACACCAAGCATGCCTTGGCTCATTCACTACATTTGGGGTAAAGGAACAATAGTGTACATTTGATTTTTTGGCAAACTATTGCAGTGACGGGCCAGGTACTGCGCTGTGATGCCATCGTGGACATTATCAGTGAGATTCAGATTGTCTCCACCACACGGGAGCTCCACTTGGAGGACTCTCCTCTGGAGCTGAAGATCCACGCACTGGATTCGGAAGGTGAGTGCAGCGGCTCAGCAAAAAGTTTAAGGACTAGTCCAGTGTTTTCAACCTAATCTCTGTCTGTTTCTGTGTTTTATGGTGTATTACCATGTATGACAGTTTTAATGTGTTTTCCTGTGCTTAGAAAAGAACTGAAAAAACTGACTCCAAACACATTTGTAATAGAAGCCAATGGGCACTTGACGCATTCTGTAAATAAACATTTGAAATAAGTGACTGTTGATACTTTTGAATTATATCCAACTTTTGGACTCTCATCACATCATCATTGTGTATTGTCCATTCAAAACTATGTATCTAACTATCTATGTAATTTTACAGAAAAAGACAAAAACGTACTTACTTTTTAATGTACATTAACATAATGAAAATTTATTTTTGACCCGTTTCTATTGGTCCATGACATCTTTACCCAATATAAAAGGCAGCTGATGTACTCAAATGATGTTTTAAAGAAAAAAAAAAAAACAAAAAAGAAAGATTTTTCAAAATTAATTAATTTTTTTAAGGGGGGGGGGTCCAGTTTCCCCCTTAATTTAGTCGTGCCCAATTCCACCCACTAGTTAGGACTCTCCCAATCACAGGATACCACCAGTGTTAGGAGAGTGAAGCCAAACACAAGCTTCCTCCAAGTCATGTAAAGTGCCACCGCATCTCTTTGACTCCTTATCACAGATTGCTGTAGCATCACTGGGGCTCAAATTTGCGTTCCCCTGTTGATAAGATAATATAATTGGTTTTGATAGGATTTTGATGATGTATTGCTTGGAGTTTTAGTTGTTTTGCCCTCTTTGGCATGTCTACTGCATATTATATCTCAGTGCTAGGCCCAGATTATTTTTAAAACTGTTCCTCACTAGAAAACTCTTGGGTGACATATCATAAGCATTTCTTATAGAATCAGACATCAGATGTTGTTCACACCAAAGAGTTGGTATAAGAGTGTTTGTTAATTTTCTTATTTGGACAAGGTAAAGCACAGAATGTAAATGCATTACTGAAATAAAAATTATTTTGGTTATTAAGAGGATGACCTGAAGCAAGCCTTTTTTGTTTAACAAGGCTTTGGTTGAGGCATTAAGTTGTGTTTGCACTGCTTTTGTGGCCTCACAGTGTTCAGAGCTGCAGCTTCAACACTACAGCAGCAGGCTTAAGGCAGCGTATCATGTGGTGTTGTTTGTAGTAATCCTCATGGTTTTCTGTTTTTCTTTCAAGGCAACTGATGAGTTTACGTATTCCGTAGTGAGGACACTTGCTTAACTAGTCTGACTTGTATGTCAACTTGTCTAGCCAAGTGTTCTTTTCAAGTTCCTGCATTATTCTCTGTCAGTTTGATATGGAACATTTTTTAAATGGTGCAGTGACCTCTGTACAGCACTGCTTGGCTATTGCATGTGAGGTCAGTAAGAGCCATTCCAGTAAAGAAACTTGTACTGCTAAGTGGCCATTACAGGAATCTCAAAATGATTCAATTATTTCATTACAAATTTCACTACAGTGTAAAATTCTACAGAACAGTACACTAAATACACAAATGTGATCGAAAGATCTAGTAGAAGAGATGCACAATGAGTCAAATTAATATTGGCAGATAATTTTGAATTATTTAGGGTTGGACTAACGTCTGAATTTGACTGGTGATTCAAACCGACACTACATTAAAATATTATTATTATTTTGGTGAGCTTCCAACCATCTACTAATAAATGCACATTTCTCTAATGCTAAACAAATGACAAAATGCACCAGTAAAACAGCACTAAATCCAGTTTAACAGAACTAATTGCTCTCTTTGTTATAAAACATGCGGTTGGTCAGTAATGATACCCGTGAAATACCCAGAAAACTACATTGAGACATAATTTAAAAGGATAACATGGAATGTAATCATATTACCCACCCACAGATTCATGAATGGAAGATATCCCATAGGGATGGGTGATATGGAAAAATTAGTGGATCACGGTACTTGATAGAATGATATGTATAACAATTTTTTGACACAGAGAAAAATGTAGTTGTATTATCACATTGAAAAACTGCTGTCAAAAACTGCATATACAATGTTTCATTTTCAGCATTTGACATACTGTGCTGCACTAAATCAAGTTAAACAGGACTAATTATGCGTTTGTCACAATGAAACATGCGGTCAGTGCTCTTGAAATGCAGACAATACCGACAGTATGCTCAGAAATGCATTATAGTGTATCACAAGTACAACAAAATATCATCATGCTGCCCACCTCAGATATCGACATCGTCCCAGAATTCCCGTATCTGTGCATCCCTGTACTGTAGTTAAATACACACAACAAACAATGTACCAAGCTGTTTTTCTATGTTTCAAAATAAATTTTCTTAGGCTTAGCTTATGAATATTCTTTTGGCCAATAAATGTGTGCACTTTATTTAATAATTATAATTCTATTATATACTAATTACAATACTCTAAAACATTTGTTTCAATTTCAATGTGGTGTTCAATTAAATGTTCATTGTGTTTGTGCAGGAAACACATTCAGTACTTTAGCTGGACTCGTGTTCGACTGGAGCCTCGTGAAGGGGACAGAAATGACTACTTACCCTGATTCCTACAACTCACTACGGTAAAAGATGAAGAGTTTTTAACCAGAATCAATGTCTTTCGTTTATGAAGTACAAATGCATGAGTTATTTATTGGTGCAATTGCAAAAGGGGAGCCAGAGAACCTGTCCCTGGTTCTCCTGAAACTAGTGATCTGAGGATCACTTGGTGCTCTGCTGCATGCGAGAGCTGTCCGCTTGTGACACTGTTTGTTTAGTAATGAGACGCAGTTCAATTTTGTTATGTTTCTCCGTTTTGTAATGGCAAGGAAGGAAATAGAAACTAGTGTGAGTGCATGCACAGAGAGTGTCATAAAACAGGCATCTTGTACATGTCCTACCAAGTAGGCCTGTACATGGTGACTACTAACCAAGTTACTGCAGTAACAGCCCCCAGAGATGGTAATATACTGTTTTAAAAACCCGTTGTTCATTCACTGATTGACTTCATGCAATACAGGAATGCATCGATACCTGCAATAATTGCGATTATCTCAAATAATTAGGTGATTATGTAATACCTGTGACAGGCCCAGTTGGAGTTAGTGCTGAAAGATTTATCATTTTTATATCAAAATTTCAAAAAGAGCTGCAATTTATATAGGAGGCTACATTATTAAGTTTTAAGTAGGACATTTTAACCTAATAACTCAGAACTTGTGAGCTACTTATAAGTGAGCTAGGTGTTAACGTGTGTGTTTGACTGCTTTTGATTGGTCTAGCTCGCCTGTACATGACAACCACAACTAACTGGCGGTCTGGCGCAGTGTGTCCAGTGTTCAAGCCTCAGGTGGATATGCTGGTCTTCTTGGCCAAAATGACAGGCCTGGATCTTAATTTTACAAGAAAACCTTAATTTAAATCGCTGTCACGATATTGATCAGAAAAATTGCAATTAGATACTTTCCCCAAATCGTTCAGCCCTAGTTTAGTGGGGCTACTTAAAGTACACAAAAATAAATTTGAGTCTGTTGTTAATTGCTGCCTATTTATTGTCAAAAACAAAGGTATGAACCTATGATCTGTTGAAAAAAAACAGTCTCACAGAGGTGATGTTTGGAATTGTGCATTTGTTGTTGTTATGACAACAAACCTGTAACAATAAGCTCCCCCCCCCCACAAGCAAGGCCAGAGTCGGTCCTGGGCGTGTTGGGAAAGTGCCCAACATATGTTAAAATGCCCGTAAGATATACAATACACAGTATTAATCTGCAGATAAGATGGGCAATGTGTTATGTAGAGTTACATTATTAATATTGCAGTTATACAATTGTACAATCGTTGTACATTTCTGAAGTTAAATATAAAATATGTGCAGTGGCTGTGTTATGAAGATTATTGTAACTGTATCATGATAAGGTTTACTATATGAGAGGTTGCAAAATTCAAGTGTACTTCTTTTTACAGAGTCCTCAAATTCTCTGAGTCAACCTACACTCCGCCAAGTTACATCTCTGAGATGGAGAGAGTAGGAAAGCAAGGAGATATCATCTTGGTGTCAGGCATCAAAACTGGCCACGCAAAACTGAAAGCCAAAATCCAGGAGGCTCTTTATACAGTGAGTCTCTTTCTCTCCTCCGCTGTGTGTCATCGCTGTTGTGATTCCAGTTCTGCTGAAGTTCCTCCTGAATTTTTGATGCTCTTTTCCTTTTGAATTTTCTGATGGTTGAAACGAGAGTGAGTCAGAGAGGCAGAGAGACAGAAAGTAAAACTCTTTTTCTTTAAAATCTCAGCAATGGGCTCTTCTCCCAATAGGCTGAGTTACTATAAATAGCCAGTCTTGCTTAATATTGGTTTCTCACTCGCTTCAGTGATTTTAGAGAGTAGAGCTAGACCAGCTGCACTGTATAGGCAAAATCCTTAACCCTATCAGCTATCTCTTACTATGCTTAAGGTATATGTAATATACCTAGGTAATGTGCACTACTGTTTTTGGGATAATTATGGGTTATGAGCATCAAAATTATTCTATAAAAACCTTTAATCCTAGTATGATATGCTATAATAATGTTATACTGTTATATATTTTAAAGAATTTTATACAATAAGTTACCTTTTGCACCTTCCCTAATCTCTGTCCCCAAATCTATAAATCTTCTTTGTAGAAGGAAAGACTAAATTAAGCAAGGCAGAGTTGTATATTGTGATCAGAAATTTGTAGAAGTTTGAAAAACAGACAGTTCACATCTTGTGAAACATTTCTGATTATTTTAGATAACTTCTTTAGCTTGGTAGATCTGTACAGTTGTTAACTGATGGTATTCTCCTGTGTTTTTAAAGAATGTTGGAGCTGCTGAAGTAAGACTGCTCATTCTTGAGAACATCCTCCTGAGCCCTGCTTACGACATTTACCTGCTCGCCGGCACCTCCATCAAATACAAGGTTCAGAAAATCCGCCAAGGAAAGATCACAGGTACATTTTTCCTATAATAGTTTCAGATAAAATTATCAGTTAGTCCAAAATTTAATTTGCACAATTTCTAGGGCTGAAACAGCTAATCGATATTATCAGTAATGTCTATAATAAAAGTTTGTTGGCAGAGAATCTTGTTATTGATTGATTATCCTGGTGATGCTTGCGCTCTTCATTTATATCACCTCACTGAAAGTGGGAAAACACAAATGCCTGAGACTACAGTACAGGATAAAAAGTAAAAATATGGGAACGCTTTACTAACAAATTCTAAAAAGACATAGAACCAAGCATGACTGTCCTTTAGGAGCAACTAGAGAAAATGCATTCAAGCTAGAAAACAGCAAAAGTTCAGAATGGTGAGCAAACTGCAGTAAAATAGTCAAAAGTTAGAAATGGTGTGTTGTCTGCTTTTCAGCTAGCTCTGATTTGGTTTAGTGAAATAAACACTATTGGATGAAGGAATGAGCTGTGTTTTCCTCTAAACTGAGCCGCTGCTTGTGCGCTATTATTGCATTATTGTTTAAAGGAGGAATAATTTGAATTGCAGTGTAAAGTTAATAGTAATTTCCTCACTATGCAATTTGTGTAGATTTGTTCATACATTTTTTCCTTTATTGTTTTGGCACCTTTCACACAGATCTGTTGATATGAATAAAAGTAAAATGTAAATATGGTTTACAAGATTGGGTAGGCTTGGTGTAAAAGGAGGAATAATCCTTGTGTTTTTAATTTCTAGAGAGAGTTGTACATGGTGTGACATATATAGTAATTGACAGACTGCTAGCTGCACCTTTTCTTTTCCTGACTGATCGATTAATTGAAGCTGTTCTGAAATTACTACAGTTTCTCCTGTAATCAGTCAGCCACATCATGTTTGGTGTCTAAAATTTGCTTCTTTAGTTTTGCACTGGATATATGATATGCTATAATGTAGCTAAAAAGTTAAGGAAGCTTATAGCCACCATTTTATTATCGTGCAAACCATGCCCCAATCACACTTCAAACTGAGTTATTAAGTAGTCACAGATAGTCACATGCTTTCTGACACTGTACTGTAAAAATAGATGAATGTGCTTTCATCCATTTTAATAGATTGTAAAGCTAAAAATGCAAAATAATTTGAATTAGTTGTCCTGGTAAATGTTGTAACTGATGGAAAACGTCTGCCTTTTTCAGAGCTGGCCATGCCCTGTGATCAATACGAACTCCATGTGAAGAACAGTGTGGTAGCACCTGGAGGAGACCCTTATTCGGCCGTAGCAGAGCTGGACCAGAGCACCTCCACCGTGCATGCCCTTCAGCACGGCCACACCAACATCGTGCTGGATCACAAGAGTATCCTTTAATCAGTGTTAACCTTAGCCTGGCTGTTAACAAACAACATTGCTTGGTGGAATAATGGGTTATTACGATAATTCTTATTATTAATGATAATTATTTATTGGACATTGATGTATTTTTTTCTTATTGTATTATTGTATTTTGTTACCTTTTTATAAAAGCAAGAAGCTACAAGAAGCTGTATTATAGTGATAAGGTTGAGGGTTTTTCATGCACTCTTGATGTAGGACTACACCCTCTAACCATGGTAAATCACTATAGCGTATAGCCTCTTGTTACTTATTGTTATATTAGCTTTTGAAACGGTCAGTGTCAATATAAATTAGTTGTGTATCCAGGCTAACTGTACTATGGCCTGTTCAGATCTGCACCTTTTTCTTAACACACTGAGGTTCTATTTGCCTGCTATTTACTCTGAAGTGTTTGGCAGTGCTTTTTAAGTGGCTTTCTCCTCATTAAACACAGTTTGAATAGCTTAGACAAAAGTGTCAAAGAAAAAAAGCAGTTTGTAGGATTTGGGGCTGATGCAACATTCAAGTATTTTAATATTTAATCCAGTCAATTAAGAGAGTAAAGAAGTTGAGAGAGATTTTTGATGAACAGACAATGGGGAAGATGGAATAGCAGCTTTTTTCATATTTTGTGTTTGTGAGCAGATCAGAATGAATGGCAGAATGAGATTTCTTTTAGGGAAGTCTTTGTTTAGAAGTTAATGAAACAAACTTAACTTTCCTTAATTGCTACTATTCAGGTCTTGGTATGAAGGGTGCTTCCCGACTACCAAACAGCACGATATATGTGGTGGAACCTGGATATTTAGGTTTGTTGTCATCTTTGCTTTAGTAGAATCTATTCAAAAAATTCTGTGAAACACAGCATTGTGATATTTTGAATGGATAAAATAATATTGATAAATAGATGCTCAGCTATCAATATTTTATTGGTTCATTATTAATGTTTTTAATTAGAGTTGCGCTGATCATGACTTTTCATAGCAAATTTCAGCCAAAGCGGCCAGTGTTCATTCATTCATTCATTCATTTGTTCATTTATTTTATTTTATTTTATTATTGCCCTACGGGTCAATTAACTAGTAATTCAGTATAAATAACAGTATTGGCTTTTTAGTTGGCCAAACTGGCATTTTCAATACTTAAACAAAATAATTTCTGTTTAGGTGACATCAATATATAATGATTCAAATAAAGTGCTACATTGAACGTCAGAAACGACAGGCTATTTAACACAGTCAGTCATGCATAATTATGCTATTTTGGTACAGGTGTAGCAGCAGTGTTCAAATACAGCATTAGCGTGCTTATCTGACATAGGTTCACAAAACTATAGCACAAATCTGGCAAAATAAAAATACTAAATTGGCAAGTGTGCTTGAAGCAGAAGACCTTCCCAATTCCCATCTTTACCCATTGCAATCATGCATCCCTCATGTATTAAACACATTGGTAGACTAATAGGATGCCAAAATTATTTGTTTTGTTTGTTCACAAAAAGACAAGTGGTCCTTTTCCCCCCCTTTTCTGATTAAATAATGTAAACCTTATTTTAAGTAACTAGTTTGCTTTCATTCTTTGCAATATGCAGTCAAAAGTAATAGTTTGCCTTACATCGCAGTATGTTGTATCGCAGGACTTGACATATTAAAGCTTTTAGGGGACATTTCAGAGTCATTTTTGACCTTATATATTTATTGGCACGTATATCTCTATTGCTGAATTTGTGTCTTTGTTTGTTTATTAAGTATTTAAGATTAATCCTGGAGACCACTGGATTCTGGAGACCAAGAGAATCTATGAAATCTTCATTGAAGTGTTTGACAAGTCAAGTAACAAGATTCATCTCTCTGATGTAAGTTGAAAGAGGAACTGTTTGTTGTTTGGCTTTTAGAGGAATTGTCATGCTATTCAATAACTGACTAGACAACTGAGTTGAATTCTGTCTTATTCTTTCATTGTGTTAAATGATAATCTTCAAACTGACTGAAATGAGAAGGATCTCTTTGTAGCTGCGATTAGCTGCAGCACATTGATGGAGACACTGAGAAACAAGAGGGCCAATACGCAATACTTTTTAAGCCTATTTAATCCTCTATCGCCTCTGTCACTGTCACTAGCTTGAAAGCTTCACAATTTATTCAAATTAAGTTACTTCACAAACTTGCTGTGCGCATTTAGAGCCCGTTTAAGCTGCAATATGTTATGGTTTTCAAACAGAACGTACGGATAGGAACCACCTTCCCCAAGGAGTTCTTCAAGGTTTTGGAGTCGTCCCTGAACGGCTCGTACCACCGTGTGAAAGCTTTGAAGCATGGCCAGACCATCATTGACGGCACCCTGAAGTCTGTTGTTGATCGGGTAGGTAGAGCAATGCTGTTTTGTGGCGGTCCATGTTAAGATTTAACTGTTCTAATCAGATTTCTTTTCCCAGAGGGGAACCATCCATATGCTTCCTGTTCCAGTGCGGAACGAGCAGGATGTTGAAATTTACAACCCCATAGTCCTCACCCCTTCTATCCTTACATTTCCATGGCAACCTAAAGAAGGAGCCTACCAGTACACCATCAAGGTAAATTTTGACAAGTATCGACACACTAGTTACTTATAGTTACTTTAAGTCCATTAAATCAGTGTTGTTCATCTTAGAAGTGTAAAATTGTGTATAACTAAGAACAGACTTGTTAATTCATTTTAAAGGGGAATTTCACCAATTTTTCAAAAGTTCTGCATGATTCAATTGTTGAGATTTAAACAAAGTCATTCAGAGTAGTTCAGTTAAAATTGCTTCATTGTAAAGAAACAGACTCTGATTTCTTGACAATAGTGGTGATAGGAACCAGGAGTCAAAATCTGCAACACAAATATAGCTGTTTTGTTTACTGTCAAAAAGCACAAGTACACCTACATGAGTTTTTATATGCAATATTGATGAGGGTAAAGAGTGGTAAGACTGAAACTTGATTCTGCCAAAATGGATTTTTGCCTAAAGTCCTTGCCTAAGTTTTAAGTTTTCTAAAACATTATCAGAACCTTTGGATGCAGTTGCATTCATCCCCAAAATTATTCTGCAGTTTGTTTATTCATTTATTTAATTATTTTTACCATTTTACATCAATGACTCTGAATGATTTTGTTTACATCCTAACCATTCAGTTATACAGAAAAAAGGCCCTGTTACTCTTTAAATGTAACAAATGTAACATGTCCTGTCGTTAGTATGGTCAAGTGTAGAGATGCAAATTAATTCAAATTAATGTTTTCCCTCTGTGTAGGATTTAAAATGGAGTTCTCAACACTGATGCTGCAAACTCCATATAAAATATATTGATGAACAATTAAATAATCACCTTCAGCTCATTATACTGTTATTGCCTTAAAATACCTGAACCATGAAAATTGAGTTTGTTAATATTTTGAGTCCACAGTTGTCTTTAACTGACTTCTGTTAAGTGCAGCTGAACTGTAGGTTGAGTATTATGTAAACCTAACCTTAACATCAATTAATATCTTAAACTTAATGTTGTAAAAAATCTGCTGAGTTTCACCACATAGTTTGTTAATAATTTGAGCATCTCTTCATAATCTATAGGGAAGTATCAACTTAACTTGTGGCCCTGAATTTAGTTATTCAATTGACCTTTATATTTCAGGCAACTGGAGGCAGTGGAAACTTCAGCTGGTCTTCGTCCAACGCTGCTGTCGCCACAATCACAGTGAAAGGAGTCATGACCACTGTGAGGGACGTTGGTGTTAGCACCATCTATGCACATGACCTTCGCAACCCACTCCATTACGGAGAGATGAAGGTGAGGTTCAGTATAAAGCAGGGGTGCACAAACTTTTTGTCTCGGGGGACCAAAGTGCAATGTTTGTGGTGGGCAGAGAGCCAAAACGACAAAGCAGTATACAAATAAAGGAGACAGGTCCAGCTTTAAAGAGGTTTTCTATAACTTTAAATATTTTTAATAGCATGCTTCATAAATACAATTTAAAGAAAAGACTAATTTAAGTTATATGTAGTGTATGTGTTGCATGTTCTCTGATGTTCTCGGAAGGCCAGGTTTAGGAAGCCAGAACATTGTAAGTTCTTTAAGTAGAAGACTGCATTTGGTGGCCTGAAGTTCTTTATCTCTGGGGAAATTAGTGATTGTGCATGAAAACTTTGGATTATTATAATTCTAAAATATGGTAGAATGTTCAGGAAATGGCTGCATTCTACCTGCATGTAGACCAACTAAACCAACACTAGACCAGCATAATCCCATAAATTATATGCTGGTCTAAGCTGTTTCTTTTTTTCTCTGCTACTGTAGGTTTATGTGATCGAGCCGGTTGGGATGGAGTTCAGTCCGTGTGCGGTGGAGGCGCGTGTGGGCCTGGGGCTGGAGCTTCCACTGCGCATCTTTGGTCAGCTGAGCTGGGAGGATGGAGAGAGAGTCACTCTCAGCGACTGCTCCCACTTTGACCTGCAGGTCGAGATGGAGAACAGTGGCATCTTTCAGTTGTTGGAGGGTGAGCAAGTTGAAATGGTTTAAAATGCTGGATGTTTGAATGTTTTCAGTTCTGTTAAGTTTTTAGGAAATTCAGGTTGGTAATGAATAATAACAAAGTGTAGGAATTAGGCTTGTGATATCATGTGCATTATACCATCATCTGAAAGCTCCTTTCAGTTGCTGGTTGGCAGTGCACTCGTATCATGCTCTCAAACGGACTGCAGACTGCTTCTTATGCTGTCGGCCTCAAGATCCTTTTAATCAATATTTGCGGCACCTTTCTCTGGTAAATTGTTTCAGCAAGGTTATGTGGTAACACCTCACCACCTGCTGTGCCTGCTTAAACCAGAGAAAAGAAACCTGTTTCTACTTTTTATTCTTGTTATGACTCAGTAGTTTTTGCTGATGCTTTAATAAGTTGCGTGTTTATCACGTCTTATTAAAATAATAGATGGGCAAAGCTTAACCATGTGGAATAGCCTAAAGGCTACTGTTACTGTAGCTGTGCATTGTCTTTTTAATTACTGTTGTGGTCACAGCATAAAAATATTTTTAGCCCCCCCCAGTCATGTTTCATAAAGGAAGTCATTCCAGTTATGAAGAGCTGCTGCATGTCTTTAACAAATACAACAGTGGGTAGGGAAGAAAAAAATCTACCTACAGCATGTTTTAAAGCCAAACATCATATCAGGGCTGATTACAGGCTGTGGACTAATGTTAATCATTAAAAGAAAATATGTTAAAAGAAAACTGATTGTAAGACAAATTTAATTGCTTTTGTGCATTTTAAAACGGCATGTTTTCGGAAATTTAAACCGTCCAGCTTGATTGACAGTTGAGATGGATGGAAACTATTAGCTATCGTCCTTCGGCTGAAGCCTTGTAGCTGTTTGTTACTGAAGGGAGAAGCCCATGCAAATGTGGCTCACATTCTATGGAGCAGTAAGAAGCATCACTTCTTGATTTTGATGGACACAAATCACACGGTCAGTTTCCAGGAGCTGTGCCTCTCAAGTGCCACTCTGTTACAGGGAGCCTCTACTTCAGCTGTTCTGCCTCCGACTCTGCTGACTTGTTGCTAGCATAAACTCTCAACTCAATTACTCATCAAGTCCTCAACAATTATGGGATGACCACACTTGTGGATTTTGAAAATCAGTGCGCTGTTTGTCTTACTGACAATCCAATCACACTAGGACAAACTCCTAATACACATTAATGTATTAATTGTGATTCTGAAATACCATCTCAGAGACAGTGCTGTAATATCCTGATTTTAAGCTGTTATTTATTTATTTGTTTGTTTTGTTTTTTTATTTATGTCTTAGGGAGATTACCTCCAGGACAGGACCGCTGCAGTGGAGTGCGAGTCCAGGCTTTGGCTCCAGGCTACACCAACCTGCTGGTCAGCTACACACATGGCAACGTTCACCTAAATGCAAAGATCACCATCGCCGCCTACCCTCCACTCAGGGTGAGTCATTTTGGAATGCATCACAAACATTTTATTTTAAAATTAAATTCTCTGCTTTTTTGTTAACATTTACAATGTTTATAGAACATTTTGTTTTGAAATGACTTAATTACATAAAGCTAGTTAGTTTGCCCCTCACTGTGTAACAGGCTGTGGACCCTGTATCTGTTGCCCTGGTTACTCTTGGCTCCTCTAAAGACATGCTCTTTGAGGGCGGCCCAAAGCCCTGGGTCCTGGAACCTTCCAAGTTCTTTAGAAACCTCACAGCAGAGGACCTGAACAGTGTGACACTCACCCTTACTGGCCCAGCATCAAGGAGCTACTTCAGACACACAGTACAAGCTACCTGCAAAGCCCTGGGTGAACAGGTGAGAGAATTCTAGACCACTAAACAAGCACATCCTGCTGTAATACTGTAGTGCTGTAATTTTAAATATCTGCAATTATTTGTTTAAATAATGTAATAAAAATAATATGACAATATTTGACCAGATTTTGCAGGCATGACAAGCAGCACCAAATTACACACATTACTCACTTATGCTTGTCTTCTGCAGTTGTTAATTTGAAAGTGATTTAGCTGTGGGCTGATTTACTGCTTGTTTGCAAATCCATGAACTTCCAGGTCTTGGCAGTGACTGTAGGGAACCAGCCCACCGTGACCAACCCATTTCCAGCTGTGGAGCCAGCAGTGGTGAAGTTCATCTGTGCTCCTCCTTCACGCCTGACCCTTGTACCCGTCTACACAAACCCTCAGCTGGACCTGTCCTGCCCCCTGCTCCAGCAGAACAAACAAGTGGTAGGCACTAAATATCAATCAGTTATTAGTTAATTGGCCAACATTGGTTGATTTTTTTATTATTTTTTTAATGTGCTATATAGATAGATGTGACTTCATATTACTAAAGCTCTTTCTTGCCAGCTTTATTTTGATCCCCAAAGTGTAATATAAGTGTATAGGTTGTGTTTAGTGTTGATTGTATGCGAGAAACTGATGATTACAGTGCTTTATAATCTCTCATAGGTGCCTGTATCTAATTATCGTAATCCCGAACTGGACCTGGCAGCATTTGACCAGCAAGGGAGGAAATATGACAACTTCAGCTCTCTGAGCATGTTCTGGGAGTCCTCCAAAGTGGCTCTGGCCAGCATTGAGCCCACAAAGCCCATGGAGCTGCACCTGCTCGAGGATAGCAACAAGCAGAAGAAGCTTCATGGTAGCCTGAGCTCACTTCACACTCATATTCTACACTGGTTCACAACAGGTTCACAAACACAAAACCCAACTTTTGAAATTTGAGCTTTCATCATGTATTATGCATCATGTATTCTTCTTCGATTTTTTTCAGATTTTAGTTTAGAGATTTATTGGTTAAAAATTATTTATCTCAGCTTTGTGTTTTTTTTTCCCCCAGTAAAATACTATGTAACATTAGAATAAATACAAATGAATATAAATACAGTAAAACATAGCAAGAATGTGTTGCTTTCAGTTAAGTTATGAACAGTTTGTTTAGCAGAATACAGTTAGAAGAACACAGGTTTGGTGGTTGTTGACTTATCACTGCACTCCACCCATCGCTTGGATTTGTTTATTTCAATCAACATCACCTGATTTAATTTAATAAGGGGGTTGATTAAATAAACCCTGTATTGGATGGTAACTGTAAATACTGGGCTTGGAACAGGCTTGGAAATGGTTAAATTAATATGCTCTTTAATATCATATTGAATTGTTGGTTTTTTTTTTTTTTATTCTAGAGTAGTGTTTTTTGACAAAATGAATCACTGTTAAGATAAATGGCTTTACTGTACCCTTTTCCACTGTACATCTCATTTCCATTCCAATTTTGCACAAATGCTCAGTGAATGTTGCTTGACTTCCTACTGAATTTTCTCTTTCTTTATCTCCAGGCCGTCAGACCGTGCTTGTCCATCACCAGTCTGGAGTTGCAGCCATCACTGTTACTGCAGTTGGCTACCAGTCATCTCACCTGGAGGCAGCAGCAGTTCTCCCTGGGGTATGCAAGTACTTTCCTGTGACTCAAAATCTGTCAGCCATTTCAGATACACCGCCAGAGTCAGGCATCATTTGATGCTAAGACGTTAGCTCAGGAGCGCAGTTTCATTTCCGCCATAGCTGAGGAGGAAACAGTAGGGCAGCTCTGTGTGACCACAGGCTGCTGTTCTTGCCTCATAATCTCGTTGGTTGCTAATGCCAACAGATGACAACAAAAAAACAAATTCAAGAACTCGGGTTTATCAAAAAGCCACATAACAAAGAAAGGTGCAAGTGCGAGTTCTGAAGCAAAGCTAGTTAATCAGGTGCTTCAGTGATTTGGTCCAGGGCTAATACTGACAACAATGAAACTAGGGCTGTAACTATTACATTGTAACTGTTATATTAGTAATCAAGTTATCAAAATGATTTGATAATTAATCAAGTAATTTTTAAAAAGGCCAATAATACAATTAACTATGCATTTTAAAAATTACAAAATATTTTTTCACTGGGGAAAAACAAGGAAGCCTTTAAGAGGATAAAAAAAAAACATACAAACACTATATGGGGATATACAGTTGCATGCAAAAGTTTGGGCGCCCCAGTCAATGTTTTCTTTTTTCGTGATATGTTCAGCTCACCTAATAAATAGAAATTGTGCACTAAAAGTGCAGAAAATGCCATGTTTTTGTTTTCTCTGTAGAGAAAGTGTAATGTATTTTCACTTAATCAACAAAACATAATTTTACCTTGGAGGTTCAAACTTTGTCATACAACTGTATATTACATGGTGATGTATTGAGTATATCTAATGTGCTCTATATATAATTTAATGTTTATTATGTGATTGTTGTAATAATTTTATATCTTGATATTTTCACTTGTCTGGTGAAATGATGCTCCATTGTCAAATAATTCCATCTGCAGATAGTTTTGCTTGTTTAATGTTTTGAGATAAGCCCTGGAATGAGACAAACAATCTTGTAATGTTTTACAACAATCTAATGAAATCTTAGCTACATACGTGCATACATGTGTAATGAGAAATATTAGATATATAGGTTTCAGATAATTTCACTTGCCAAGTCATAATATCCTCTTTTGTAGAGATTGCCAACTAGAGGGTAATTTTTTATCAATGAATTTTTTCCACAAGTGCTCATAACAGCTCTAGTTGGAACACACTGTATTTTTTTTTCACACCAACTCTCTGGCAGTTTGAGCCTCTGACACCTGTGTCTGCTACACTGGATCTCCTGCTGGTGGAGGACGTGCGAGTGAGCCCAGAATCTGTCACCATATATAACCACCCTGGTGTGCGGGTAAGCTCTTGTCTCTGCGGAGTTCCACCATCTCCCCCACATCAACATATGCAGCCACTTGTAAGAAGAAGTCTGCTTGCTACACCGAACACAAAGCAGTGTTTGCTTTAATGCTTATTGATTCATTTCTGTACAGTTCATTCACTCTCTTTTGTAGCTAGTTTTAATATGTCTCTGTCAACCCCGTCCAAGGGCACCATAATTTATTAAGACCATTCTGATTTTAGGGGCGAGAGGTATTTTGATATATCATGAGATAATGTCATACCAGTGTTCGTATCTTCGTAAGGGTGTATTTTAGAGGCATCTCCAAGACAAATTAAACCTGAGCTTAAATAAATCGTAGAAACTCAACAAAAAGCACATTTAACCATACCACTAAGGATGCTTGTACAGATGCTCTGTGTAGCCTTTTACACACCCACATGGCAGCAGCATGGTAGTAGGTGAAGGGAGTTGTTTGTTTACTGTTTGCTGCTTGCTACCAGCATTGCAAAGACATTCCACTCTTTTGTTGGATGAAATAGATTTAACATGCACAAAATGAGGAAGGACGATTAACTTCGTGAAAATATCCAACAGACACAGTAAACAGGAAGCAAGCCTGAAATAGCAATTACAGCATTCAGTAAAATATTCTACAGACCACCTACAAAGTGCAGAATGGAATTGAGGAGGAGTGAAGACATAAAAACCAACAGGAAAATAGGTTTTAGGGGAGAATGGCAGTAAACTGCTAGAGTGCGTTTTTAAAGTATATTTTAAAAAATTGTGATAAATTGTTATTGTTCAAATGATAGAAAGTACTGTGATATAGATTTGGGTTTATATTGCTTTATATTGTCAATAATAATACAGGCCAATCTTCAACTATGTCACATTACTAAATACATCTGTGCAATTTTAATATGTTGTGGGGTGTAAAGTTATTGCAGTATGCAGCAGTGTAATCTCAGTACTAGTATTTTGTGTATTGTGTTGCCAGTCATTCATTTATTCATTTCTGTTTTGTAGGCTGACCTCACTTTACAGGAGGGCTCTGGCTATTTCTTTGTCAACACGAGTGTTGCGGGAATAGCTGAAGTTGTGTTCCAGGAGTCGCAGGGAACCGCTGAGGTGAGGTTTATTGGTGCCAAAGGCCATGTTGCTGCTAATGCTGTTCTGTTTAAGCAAAGCACATCAAAACAAGAGTTATGTGTTGGGTTAGGCAGTTCAAGGAACACTTTGCAGCTTTTGAAATTAAGTGGCTGACCTGTTCCATGGCTCTGAACTGTTTCTTGTTTATTTATTATTTTCTGTTCTGTTTATTTTGGTGCATTTAGTTATTTTCCTGTGAAATACACTTTGATACTATAAGTTAAAAAAGTGGTCCATTTATAAAATAATAATAAAGTAATAATAATGACGACAATGATTATTATGTATTTATTTTTAAATTTATTTTCATTTTTTTCATTTATTTATACAGTTTCAGTCTGTTAGCTTAAAGAACGCAGACATTCACATATGACCTGCTGAAAAGTCTTTAGTTTTCTTCATGGCTGCATGATGCGAATTGCAACAGTTCTTTTTATGCTTTCTATTGTACTTCCAGGTGGTGCCAGTGCGGCCAGGGGTTTTGCAGGTGATGGTTCATGACCTGTGCTTGACCTTCCCTGCCCCTGCCACAGCTACAGTTCACATCTCAGACATTCTGGAGGTTTACGTCCGTGTGGTTGACAAGGTCAGCAGATGGGTTTGTGCGATGGGTGGGCAATATATTGATAGTTAATTGTCAGCACAATATCGGCTGCTGCAAAATTGATATCGTAGAATTTGCAAATGAGCCCCCTGACAATTCTGTGTGCTGGGAGCATCCTGACCAATCACAGTTTCAGAGGATGGGTGCTTTGATCAAGATATTCATTTAATCCAACAGAAGAGTAGAGTCTTTGGCCAAAAAAATAAAAACCAGTCTTTAGTCATGTCACATTGATTGATTCATCTGTGTATTTTTAATAGATTGCAAGACACAGCAATCGCAATATGTAACAATGCAATCGTATTGCTATTGTTTTGTCCATGTTAGGCAGCCCTAGTTTGCACTCAAGAGATCCCTTTCTTCACCTCACATAGGATTCTCTCATTTTTCACATTTCAAAACTGCCTGACTGAGCTGTCATCCTGCTGACTGTTTTATCTTAAGCAGAATTGACATTTAGACTGTGCCAAAGAAGCTGTATCTTCTGTTTGTCACAGATTCCTGCATAAACTGTCTTAAGGTTGTGTGCAGTTCTTCAGATCTAAGTGTTTTTAAAAGAGAAGCTCTTCAGTTAGAAGTTTTTGTACTTTGCAAAGACTTGAGATGACATTATGACTTGGTTTAAAGCAGAAGTTCCAAACTACCAGGCTTGAGACTATTTTTGTGCTGTGAGTTTTTAGTACTGAGAGGAGAGTTAGTAGCCTAATAGCTATTTTATGTTTATTATTATTATTAATGAACTGAATATTGTTATAGTAGTATTTTATTTAAGGCTTTATTAAAGCTCTTTACCTTTAAAGAATCCATATCATAGAAAACAAAATTTCTACCCTTTTTAATAAAAAGATTGATGTAGCATGTAAACGTTATAGTTTCAAAACATACTGCTTACTTTCCAGTCCATGCAGTTTTATGTAAAATGTTAACACCCCGGGTTAAGTTACATGTTTTGTTGATTTTGTAAGTGGTAAATAGTAGTAAATAAGTTAACACATCCTCTACAGAGAACACGCTTAAATATTCTAAATTTTTGTGCACGATTTCTATTTCTTTGTTTTAAAATATTGGAAAAAATATATAAAGTGTGTCATAACTTTTGCACAGGCCACTTTTTTTTTTTTCACCCAACATATTAAATTCAGCAAATAAACAGTAATTGTGCTTTAAAATGTACAGAAGTGTGTTCTCTGTGGAGGATGTGTTAATTTATTTTCACTTAGATCAACAAAACTGTTTTGAATCAATTGTTTGTCAACAAAAAAAACACATTTACATATATCTGCCTATACAGCCTACCGCAGGCCCCACTTAGCCCCACCTTTTCATGCTGAAGTTATAAGGACGGTAAAAACCCGTTGTATGTTTATTAACTTATTTCATGCAAAGAGTAGGAAGACTCTGATATTCCCTTATACAGTTGATCCGGTTTAAAATATGTTAGGTGTATTGATGTCCTACATTAATACCACATTTGTACGTAACCTAGATTACATTGTGCTTTTAAGCTGCACTTAGTGCTGCAGGCAGATATTATGCCTGTCCAAAAAGCCGCATCTGTGGTAGGATAAACATTTTAGAACAAAATTACATAGTTCTCAGGAAAAACTCAAAATATGTCTCAGCTCAGGTTCAGCAGGAAAAGTGGGTTATTTCAAGTGTCCTCAGGCAAAGCAGCTTCAGAGAACAAGCCAAAGGGCTAACTAGGAGGCCTCAAACGGTAAAAGTCTGGCGAGATTTACAGTTTTCCCCTTTCTTAGTAGATTAATTACAGTTTCATGGCCCAATTAAAGATGACAGTATGCAGCATAGTTTTTCTGTTTTTTTTTTGGGTATTCACAGAGATTAAGCTTCATCTTGCACTTGCTGTGTTGGCTCGAACATGCAATTCAGCATTAGGGACGGTCTCAAAAGTACTGAATGAAAATGTGTTGCTCGTATTATTATTTTTATTGTCATCATTATTTCCTTTTTTTGTGTTTAGACAACTGCCAATTCCTCAATGGCATGGTTTAACAGTTTACTATGGTTATTTTGCTTGCAGTTAAGTACATAAGAAGACTCTATTACTACGCAGGCCTAGATATGTGGAGGTCAGAAGCCCCGTTGAATCGAAAATATGAACTTAAAAAAACGAATTTGTTGCCCTGTTAATGCTCATGCCCCGAAGTTATTGCTATAAAGCCATCCAATTACTTTACCACTTGGAGACAAAACAGCCTCGGACAACAGCAAAACGTAGGACAAATTGTGTGCACCGCGCCGCAGTTGGGGACCCCTGGTTTGAAGTACTGGCAGACTTGTATGCAGTGACAGTGCCTGAGATTTGGTCAGGATGCTCATCAGAAAATTCTGACATCAGTCTCTGTGCTCTGATAATGGGAAATAGTGCACATTTGCATATTGTTGCCTGCACCATGTTTCAGAAGCCATTCTTGTAGAATTGATTAAAAACTGATGCATTGTTCAACTCTCCACTGGGTTCAAGCTGACAAGAATGGAAGCAAGACATGAATCATTCAGTGATCGTCATTAAGGTGTCATAGTGGTGTCCTTTGAGAGAGAACAGTGTGATGTATTGCTGTATTTCAGGTGGAGATAGGGAAGTCCGTCAAAGCATACGTCCGAGTTTTGGACGACAACAAGAAGCCCTTCCTCGCCAAGTATTTCTCACACATGAATCTGAAACTGAAGGCCGCATCATCAATTGTTTCTTTGCAGTGAGTGAAAACAATTTGCAGAGAGAGATACAGACTTTTTAAGGGGCTCAACAAATAATGTTGTTATTGGTCATCTGTGATTCCTTTGTTAGACCACTGACAGAGTACTCTGAGAAGGACACCGCTACTTTCCTGGTCAAAGGCCTGGCAATTGGCCAGACAAGTGTGTCTGCTGTGGTGATGGACAAGAATGGAAGGAAAATTACATCTGCACCACAGCAAATTGAAGTTAGTCTCTTCTCACCACTTTAACAAAGAGCTGTCTCTGTCTTAAAGGTTATTCCCCTTATATTTCACAATTTCTGTACAATTCAATCAATTGAGAGTGTAAACAAAGCCATTCAGAGTGGTTTAATGTGAAATTTCACATTGTAGAGAATTTTTTCTACAGTGGTGTTGATAGGAACCAGGGTTCAGGATGTCTACAACACAAATATAGCCGTTTTATTTAACTATCTAAAACCACAGTGAACCTACATGAGTCTTCTGAGATTTTGTTGATAACAATAATCTCTATACTATTTTGCCTTACAAAACCCTGCATGTACAGCTCCACCATAAATCGCTTTTATCTCAGATTCTTATCACAGAACTATAGTAAAACAGTGTTTCCGAGGAAGTTTTCAGGCAGCTTATTTCTTTTATGTATTAGCTTTCTGCCAGGGGGATTTTAAGAGGCACTAAAATTCTAGTTCCTATCACCACCACCATGAACTATTCTGTCTCTGCAAAGTTTCTCTAGAACAAAGCATTTCACATCAAACCGCTCTGAATGAATATCTAAATAATTTAGATTATGCAGAAATTTTGAAAAATGTGTGGAATTCCCCTTTAAGCCATATATGTTTTTTTATTAAACTTTGCTATTACAAAGCGTTGTCTACAAACATTTATTATTTTCCATATCTTGAAAGTTAAAAATATGTGCTTAAATGACCAGCATGTAAAAAGGTTAATTCCCACCTTTCAGGTTTTCCCACCTTTCAGGCTTCTTCCAAGAAAAGTCACTCTGATTATAGGTGCAATCATGCAGGTAATTACTTGTTTTACTTATTAATTACTTGTAATTTCTTGTTTTCTTGGACAAAACTTTTCCTGCAGACTTCTGAGTGTTTTTAGGAGTTCATTAATAGGCTTAACTATGCATCTAATCTATGAATCAACAGTTTTGAACTGGCAGCAGCAACAAATAGTTGTTTCTTTAATCAAAAACCTTTTGGATAAATTTTGTTTTGGGTATTTTTTGTTGTATGATTCTGGTTGCAGACGTAAGTCTCAGTAATTAATAAATTATACTTTCTCTTATATTTGTAGATCACTTCAGAAGGAGGACCACAGCCCCAGTCTAACATCCTCTTCTCTCTAAGCAATGCCAACATAGCATCTATCAACAGTATGGGTCTTGTTCGTGGCATCGCCGTTGGCAACATGACTGTAACTGGAGTTGTTCAAGCGGTCGACACAGAATCTGGCAAACTTGTGGTGGTTTCCCAGGTAACTCGACAAGTTTCCTCATCCAAATATGCCTGCCTTTTGTTGGGCTGTAACTGTTTATTATAGTAGTAATCAATTTATCTGCCTCTGATTTTGACAATTAGACAACCAGCATTTTAAAAACTGAGCAAACAATTGAATTGAACAATTAACTGCTTCTGTGTGATGCAGAGTTAGCCTTATTGTTGGGAGATTGCAAGTCCGATTCCCAGTGATGCCACAGCCATTCATTGCTGGGAGTCCAAGAGAGAGTACACATGGCCTTAGTAGGATGATCCTCTCTCTCTCCCTCCCTTCCCATCAGTCAGTGCATTGCTAGCCAATACCTGTTAGCTGGCGTGACAGAGTTAGTGTTCTCCTCCAAGCATGTTGTGCTGTCTAGTGACTTTGCATTCAGTGGCAGTTTGAAAAGATGCGGTGACTTGGTGGAAGCGTGCTAGTCTTCACTTTCAGAGCTTGGTAGCATCACGTGTTGGGAAACAGAACACCTAGCTAGTGGGTAGAATTGGCCATGACTATGCTGGTGTTGGCTATACTATTAAAAATCTCACTCAACTGGAAGATAACAAACCAAGCTCCTACTTCTTTCCTGGAAAAAGATAAACTAGAATAAATTAATGGAATTCATTAAGGTAAAACACATTGTACCAAAAAAATGCATGCATATATATATATATATATATATATATATATATATATATATATATATATATATATATGTATATGTATATGTGTGTGTGGATGTGTGTGTGTGTGTGTGTGTGTGTATATAGAGGTCATAATGCTTTGTTACTGTATGCGAGAACAGTAAGAGAATTGTAAAATAGTCATGCAAATTGCCATTCCCTGCTAATTTATTTAGTTAATTTTAAGAGGGTTTTCAAATATTTTCTTAAGAATTACAATAATTAAATGGTTAAGATGTAAACAAGTATTTTAGAGTGGTTTAATGTGCAAACTGTTCACAGTGGTGGTGATAGGAACCAGATGTCCAAAGTGTTTCATGCCTCTAAAAGGCTAATGATTTTCCCTCCTGGAGAATTATTACATGAAATGGTTATGAATACGCTACCTGATGCCTGCGATATTGTCCTATGATAGCTTTGACATAATCTTTTGGACTAAAATACATTAAATTAATTAATGGCCAAGAGGTACATACAAGGCATTGTAAGGCAAAATAGTATCCAATATGCCACTATTTTACCACTAACAACATTACATATTAAAACTTGTGTAGGTTCACTGGTTATTTTTGATAGCAAATAAAATGACAGTGTGTTCCTATCAGCAAGTCTGTTTACAGTGCTACATTTCACAATAAACCACTCTGAATGACTGTTTACATCTGAAGGATTGAATTATGAAGAAATTTTAAGAAGGCCGTATTCTCTGTGAAATGGGAGATCTAGTTAAATCGATTAATCAGTACATCCCTACTTAATTGTTTATCCTTTAATGTTTAGTATCTACCATTTGCTGTTCGCAGGATCAAGTGGAGGTAGAGGTCATCCAGCTGAAAGCCATCCGCATCCGAGCTCCTATCACAAGAATGAAGTCTGGCACCATGGTAGCCAAACACATTCGGTTCTTTATGTATACACTGATATAGAGACTTTTGAGACTTTTATCCCATAGAGAACAAAATAAAGCAGCTAAGCATATTAGTCTGTAAGCTGCTGTTTTCTTTCTCCTGCTTTAGATGCCAGTGCATGTGATGGGTCTAACCAGCAGTCAGACACCCTTCTCTTTTGGTAATGCTCTGCCAGGGCTTACCTTCCACTGGTCCGTAACTAAGAGAGACATTCTGGAGGTGCACACACGCCACTCAGAGGTGAGTTAACCTGAGATGATTAATAGGCTCTTTCAGGACAATTGAAGACCAGTACAGTGTAAATACTGTGACTTCTCTTCCTTTGTATGTAGGGCTATGCAATATATCATTTGTTGATGTTGTACTATATCATTTTTAATATGTCCACAAAACTGTGATTAGTGTGGTAAGAAAGAACATGTCGTAAAAATCTTGCTAACTCTTATCTGTGAACTGATGTACATGTTGGGTGGTTCTGTTTAAATTCTATACTGTAAGGCTGTTTGTCAACATATCACGTCCTAGGAGAAAGTCTAACTTCAGTCTAACTTCAGAAATATTTTTCTTTTTTTCTGCTAGCTGGGTTTATGTAATATATAGCTGTTGATTTTCTGTCTAGACATTGTGGCTGATTTGGCTATATTTCAGTTTAAGATGTTTGGATAGCTTGGCTCAGATGTGAGCAGTTCTGAGAAAATCGTTGTTTTCAATTTACTCTCATGCTTAATTGCATCTACCAAGATTTATCCACAGAACTTCTTTGTTTTGCCGTGGCAGTACAAACTGTAAACTATCCACGAAGTTGTGCGTGTTGGATTGTTTGGATCATTTTTGATCTTACTGAGCTCATCATTTGAACTGACTTTCAAAGCGACACGTGAACTCAAATTATGTCACTAAATAATCAGTAGGCTGTTCTATCATCAAGAAACCTAATGAACTTACCTTACCTTTTGAACCTTACCTTTTCTCCTCCAGGCCTCTGTCCAGCTCTCTGCTGAGCATAACTTTGCGATGAATGTGGTTGGCCGAAACAAGGGTCGCACAGGCCTAAAGGTGGTGGTGAAGGCTATAGCCCCTGAGGACGGCCATCTGGAGGGCAATGCTGTAGAGCTGTCTGATGAGATTCAGATACAGGTACTCTTTCCCTTCCATTGCACTGCACACTGACCAAATGTTCCCCAGCAAACACCAACATTATGATGTTGACAGTATTATGGAATCTTTAGTCCTAATTTAAGATCAGACAAGGTCTTGGTGAAGTTTTTCACAAATTTGTTTTACAGAAGCAAATCTTAATTTAGGAGTTATATCTTATTTCACAGCACCTTATCTCAAGTTATGAAATTGTAAACTACTTGATCAAGGTTGATAATCCGTTGTTATGTCTATTACCAAGCAACCGACAATGTACACAGAGCTGAAAGGTAATAATGTTAAAAATATAAGTTAGTTAACTAGACAACAACTGTTTCCGATGTGAAAAAAAAAAAAGATATAATAAATTTGGACAAATTAAAACTAAATTGTAGTAAACTGGAATTTAGGGATATAGTTTTCTTTAACATTAATGCAGAAGATAATGAGGGAACATTGGAGATCTTTCTCATCTGGAGGATATGGTTATGTTCTTAGGGACTTTTATTCTGTAATAGCTGCTGTCCTTAATTCAGTCCTAACTGAAGTTGTCATGGTGACTAAATAGGAAAGATTTCAGAGTTAGGATGTTTCTGTAATACAGCCCCACGATAAGAACTTACAAGCCAAATGAACTAGTGTGAATGGGCGTCTGCATTTTGTGTGCGTGGTGGATAGCATTTAGTAGGGTAGAGCACACTAGAACAGTGTAAATGGGGAAGAGCATGCTAGAAGAGTGTAAATGGGGAAGAACATTCGAGGACAGTGAAAGTGGGGGGGGGGGCATTCTGGTGCAGTATGAACAAGGAAGAGCTTATAAGAGGAGTGTGAAAGTGAGCAAACATTCTAGAACAGTGTAAAAGGGGAGAGCATTCTACAACATTGTGAATGGGGCTGACAAGTATAAAACAGTCTAAATGGGGGAGAGCATTCTAGAACATTTCGAATCGAGACGACGAGTATAGAACAGTGTGAATGGTGTAGAGCATTGTAGAACAGTGTGAATTTAGGTGATGGGTATAGAACATTGTGAATTGAGATGACGAGTAGAGAACAGCATAAATGATGGAGAGCATGCTGGAACAGTGTGAATGGGGATGACCAGTGTAGAACAGTGTATATGGGGATGACCAGCCTAGAACAGTGTGAATGGGCAAACTTGTTTTAGAACAGTGTAAATGATGGAGAGCATTCTAGAATTTTGAATGGGAATGACCAGTCTAGGACTGAGTAAGTAGGGAAGCTTGTTCTAAAACAGTGTGAATGGGGTTGACCGATCCAGAACAGTATAAATGGGGTTGACCAATCTTGAACAGTATGAATGGGGGTGACCAATGTAGAACAGTGTGAATAGGGGTGACCAGCCTTGAACAGTGTGAATTCATTTTAGAACAGTGTAAATGTAAAGTCTAGAACTTGGAATGGGAATGACCAGTCTAGGACTAAGTAAGTAGGGGAGCTTGTTCTAAGACAGTGTGAGTGGGGATGCGCAGTCTACAACTGTGTGAATGCGAAAGCACATTCTAGGACAGTGTGAATGGGTATGAGCTAGAAACTCTCACTCACAAGGTACGGCACATCAACTCAGTGTTTGGGTTTGTTGGTGTTTGTTAGATGGTGTTGGGTTAGTGGGCCCTGAGTTTGAGTCGACAAGTTAACTAATCAGTTATAGTGTTCTTGGATCGCAGTCAGTTATGAAATTACCTTTTTTTTATTCATGTATTTATTGTATTTTTCAAGTGAATTATTGTTAAAACTGTAGACATTTCTGTAACAGTATGTTTGAGGAATGTAGCTAGTGACTCTCCATATAACTTTGAAATAAAAAATTATTTTAAAGTGTTGTTTAATGGATATGCTGTTCCCATGCACCATTCAGATATTAGCGGCAAAATTTGTCCTTCATTTTTGTTCACATGTAAAATGTGTCAAAGTTGTTCTTCATAACTTATATAGTGAAATGAGAGCCACCATTTAAGGTGCAAACTAATTGAAGTTCATGCATTGAAATGCTTGTGGTGAGGCACAGGTAATCACTCTACAGCAGGGCTGCATTACGTACATACTAAAAACAGTGCTGACAAAACAAAGTAAAAGTACAAAAGAAAATACTAAAACTGAAATATTAAATATGTACAAAATACACAATATATAAAGACAGGAGGGACCTATGTAGAAGAACTCTCTGCTATGTACAAATATGAGAGACAGTGAGAGACACTGTGGCCTTTTCATGAAATGCCATTGGTCTTCAGTACTGATAACACAGTACCAAAGAGTTCAGTCACTGGAGTCTTAAGTAGAGGGAGATAACTGTAATAGCAGAGCATATTTGAGTATTAGTAGTAGCAGACTGATATTCTGTACCAAGGTTCCAGTGAATGAACAAGTAACACTTATTTTTCTTTATATATCTTTTATATTTTTCATAAGGTTTATGAGAAATTGCAACTGTTGAACCCAGAAGTGCAAGCTGAGGAGATTCTGATGTCCCCAAACTCCTTATTAAAGCTTCAAACCAACAGGTAAAAATGAGCTACTGCAGAGGCCAAGGCTAAAGAAAGGAAGGCTTGTGTTCTCTGAGTGGAATGTAAAGCTTTTTACTTTGCTCCTGTTGTGGTCTGTGTAAATTTTAGTCCATATAGCCACCAAGCCTTATGAATCACAATGTGTTGTAAGAGCTTGTCTAATGATTTAAATAACTTAGATTTATGTCATTTATATATTTAATTAATCAATTATAATTTGATGAATGGGCTAATTGAACAATTATGCCTCCTGCTGTTTCCTCTCATTTTGACTTCTCTGTCTATGGGGCAGCGAAACATTAGGAGCCATATTGCCCTCTAATCTTCTTATTATAGCTTATTACAGTCTGTCAGAATGATCCTGTGCAACATATTAACAATATATATCATTATGGAGCTAATTTGATTTCTATGTAATTTTTTTATGATCCGTGCCAACCAACTGTATCAGGCCTATGTTGTTTAAAGTGCTTGTTTTAGCCCATGACTAATGTCCGAGCAGTTCCTTAGAAAACGTAATCGACGCTTAGCCCGTTTTTCTGCATTACGTCTGCACCATTATGTCCATGTGTGTGTCTCTGGTTCTTCTGTGGAATTAATACTATTTTTTACCTGGTTGTTTGTTTTTTTTTTATTATTTTTTTGTTGTTTTCTGCTTCATGAGCAGGGATGGCCAGGGTGCGGTGTCATATCGGGTGCTCGACTGTCCAGACAAAGGTGCACTCATCCAAGTGGATGACAAAGGCTATTTATCTTCAGGCTCTCTGACCGGCACGGCTTCTTTACAGATCACCTCTCAGGAGACTTTCGGAGTCAACCAAACAATCATTCTTGCTGTGAAGGTAATGATTCCTCTTCATTAACATAAAGCACCAGGACAAAAACGGATGCAGTGTTTTGTTGCAGTTACAGTGGTATAGTGCCATAAAACTGGAAGCATAAGTACTAAAACAGTACTGAGTTAGTCTTAATCTGCGTTTTGGAAAATGGTCCTGTGTGACAAAAACGCATGTAACTGGGGGTGTCCACAGCTGTCATAAAGCAAACTTGTTAACTGCTTATTGCTGGTTCACCTTTATAGTCAAGTTTAATCAGTGATAGACTATATTTCAAAAATTAAGTAATCACATTTAATCAAGTAATTGTGACTTGCCTAGTAATAAGCTTCGTTTGTGGTTTAAAGTAAACATTTCAAATTGATTGAGTCTCCTCCTGATCTTTTTTAGACATAAGTGAACCTGCATATTCCTCTGACCAAAACAATGTTACCTTTAAGCATTTTTAGGCCTGTTAAGTAATGTTTTGTTTTTGCAGGTGGTCACCGTGTCTTACCTGAGATTGAGCACCAGTCCAGCGCTGCACATGGCTAACAAGGAAACATTGTCTGCTATCCCTCTGGGCTCAGTCCTGACTTTCACTGTTCACTTCCACGACAGCACCGGTGAAGCTTTACACAGCCACAACTCCCACCTCACCTTCTCCACCAACAGGTACAACTCCTCTGATCTTAAATTTAGTGTTTCAGTTTCATCTTGTCTATAATAGTTAAATGTACTAAGTACTGTTTTTAGTGTAAACTCTATTTTGTATTTCCACTGTAGAGTTTTACTCACTGACCACTTTATTAGAACTGCCTACCTTGTACTTTAATTCACAGGCCACTTTATGATTCTATCAATTCTGTGAGCTCCATCTACTTAAGTCCTTTATGTAGGTGATCAGTTACAGACTGTAGCTCTTCTGCACACTATATCAGCCCCCTCTATCACATCATTGCTCAGGGACACTGTTGACCATATTATTTGGGTGGACCATGGTAGGTTCTGTGTTCAGAAACTGACCATTCCAGAACGGTTAGAAAATGGCCAACACAAACGGTGCATCAACAGATGAACTAGAGTCTCTAACTGTATACCAGCAGTACATTAAAGAGGTTTTTTCCATTTATTCATTTTTTTTAAATAGAAAATTCTGCCTATTCCAACTTAAACATGCTTACTCCCCTCAGTACTTGTTTAATAGCAGTAAAAAGCTGTTCAGGGCTATGAAGGACAAACACTCTTGCTGAGATTCATGAGAGTAATTTGTAGAGCTGCTCCATTCCATTCCAAATGGAGCCGTTTCCACCTGACCAAGCTAAATTAATGGGAAAGTGAGGAATGAGGAGATAGAGGCATTATGACACTGGAGGCTCGGGGAGTCCCTAAAACGACCGCACATTAAATGGATTCTATTACTTTGCTCTGAAGCCTCTGGGCTGCCTTTCGGAAAAGCAGGATGGACAAATAAGAATGAGAAGGCAGCAGGATGAGTTGAGGGAGGGGGTTGTTGATGACCCCCAGGAGGATTCTAGGGGTTGACGAGATAGCTTTCAGACTCTAATTGGTCTGGACATCCGTCTCCGTTGAGAAATTGTGAATTTTTTTTATGGTGTGAGTCCTCACTTCTTTTAAAAATAGAAACTTAATAGTATACAATATAATACATATGGAGCGTGTATAGGCCCATGTCCTAACATGTTCATTTTGCCATTTTCAGTTCCACTGTTTCTTGTTCATATTTCCCTTTTGCTCTCTTTTTCCTTTCTCTCTCTGCAGAGATGACCTGGTGCAGGTGGGAAAAGGCCCCAGTAACGGCACCCTGATGGTTCGGACCGTGAATGTGGGTCTGACACTGCTGGGTGTGTGGGACACAGAGCAGGCTGGCCTGGCTGATTACATCGCTCTGCCTGTACAGCACGCCATCCACCCAACAGAGGCCCAAAGCCTCATTGTCGGAGATGTTGTCTGCTTTTCAGCCCAGCTCATCAGCCAAGACGGTGAGGGCTTCACACTGACACGTCTCTTTAAACTCCTCAGCTGGGTTGAGTTCTTTTGTCTCTTTTCTGAAAGAGGACAAGTGAGCTGAATCAAATGTCAAATGAACACTTTGTGTTTTACACCCATTACACAGTTATTATGACAAGCGATTCCAGACTTTGGTAGACTATGTCCATGTTTTGGGCATATGTAATTAAATACTGCCTGTTGACCTAATAATGACAACTTATTTGCACTAATTTACACTGTACGCATCTCTTCTGAATATATTTTTAAATGAGTCCATATCTAGGCTGTGCATTTACAAATTGCAAGAGTGTTTGCAATTAATTTGATATATCATTACAAACTACACATGCCTTATTTATGTACCAGATTAAATGAATAAATTCTACATTAAGGTCAGATGTGCATATATCCAATTAAGCATGTCTATCCCTACTAACGATAAACTCCTACCTCTCTGCATTGTGCATTTGTAAGTAATAACTGCATGCTCTGCAGGACTCTCTGGCACGTGGAGCTCTTCATCCAGTGCCATTTTGGAGATCCATCCCAAAACTGGTGCGGCCGTAGCCAGAGACGTGGGCACAGTGACAATTTACTATGAGATACCGGGCCAGCTGCGCACTTACAGAGAGGTAAGACCTGCCTTTAAACAGGGTTAAGAACAACTCTGACAAGGCCCTTGCCTCATTTTCATCTTCTTTGCAATATCAGGGATTGTTTTGAGTTGTGCTGAAAATTGTAAGAAGAAATTGCCAGTGTAGGGACATTTGTTTTAACACCTGGCCAGTCTCTAACACTGCATTCAGTAAATTCACAGGAGAGAACAACTCCTGACTTCAATAGGCATCGCAAGGATCCTTAAGATGTCTTATTAAAATAAAGTAAGGTCATAAAATGACAAAAGAAAGTCTTACTTTCTACTATTAGGGGTATTAAATTCTAAGAGCAGCTTGAAAAGAGTCATGTATGTTACTAATATTACTAAACTAACTCAGAATAGTCAACCAGTTAATAAATATCCACAATAATGGTCCTGTGTGATTGATGAGAGGATGGTGCAAGATAATAGTCCTTAAAGGAAAATTCCACTGATTTTTAAAAAATATTTCCAATTAATTTTTCAAAGATGCTTTAGACATAAAATTAAGCAGATACAATAAATGCAATTAATCCTGATTAATTACACAAACTTACAGTTTTAAAAGCATTGAATTTTAATATAAAATTGTGCAGCAACCCACAATACAGTCAAATCTGAGGATCTGTAAGATGCAGTAGATGTGTCTGTAGAGCATAATGTTGGGTAATGGTGTGCAGAAGTAAATCTGAAATTGTTCAGCTATAGCAGTGTGCTACAGTGCATCATGCGGATAGATTTTATCACTGCTGTGTAATCTCTCCACTTCCCAGAACTTGCTGTTTTCCAGAGGAACATTATATAGATAGGATTAATTATCTTCGCTTTGCAGCTTGAAATGGAGCACTCGAACAATGATTTTTATCAATGCTGTGGAGCAGTTGTGCAGCAGACATGTACTTACGTGCATGTAACTTGATACTTTTTTTTGGCTTGCTTGCCAAAGAACTTCCAGTGTGGCCCTGACTACCAGATTAAAAAACAGTATTTTAACCGCTCACAGGCTTGTAATACAGTCCTGTTTTTATTCATCCAGAATTGTTATCACCATTCATTCAGTCATTCATCATGTAGTCCACTTTATCCTCCTGGGTCGTGGAGGGTGCTGGAGCCTATCCCAGCGCTCATTGGAAGGAAGGCAGGAAACACTCTGGACACATCACCGGTCTATCACTTTAAAAAGCTGAAAAACACTTTTTACTACATTGTGTAAATAAGAAAAGAGGGATATACACTGTGGCAACGTGAGTTCTCAGTTTTTTGCACATTTTTGCACATGAAGCGTGTCCATTTTTGTGTCCCTTGCGTTTACAAATAAATGACACTTGAAACACACATTGGGGTTACAATTTATTTATATTTTAAAATAAAACAATAAATTATTTTAACACTTCTTCTCGAGCTATCAGTTTAGCAATATTGTTTTTTAAATCAATTATATAAAATTCCAAGCACCTCAGAAGATGATGTCACCTGACTTTCTTTTACCAATTTTATCAAGCTCTATGAAGAAAAGCACATGGTGCGTCCACTGTGTCTTTTCAGTTATCAGACATTTTCTCATTTAGCTCATGATTTCATATGAAGCTTTTAGTTGAAGTCACTGGTGTGACTTACTTTATTCTTAGGTAATTGGGAAAAAATAGAATACAAATGGATTAAATTACATATTTTAGTGGATATTCCATGTTTGACAACATGTGGTTTGATGCTCTGTAGCAGCCATTTTGTAAAATGCATTTTTCATAAAAAATGTTACCGGTGTTCCTGTCTCTGGTGTTACCTTTCTTATGTGTAACACCAGTGACGATCAGTAACACCAGTGACTCCTATGGATAGAAAAAAAATGGACATTTCTGTAGAATCACCCGATACACTTCCCTGTTGAGCACCTACCTGATGACCATAATGATTTTTTTTAAGACTTGAATCTTAATCGCATGTTCTTGCAGGTTGTTGTGAAAAGTGTCTCCAGAACAGCAGTCATGGTTCCTTCAGGTGCGATGAGAACTGACAAAGAGACCAGGGTGCTGCTGACCACCAGAGAACAAGGAACTAACCTCATTGGTATGAAACTTCCCCCAAAAAAACACCACATATTGTATATATAAGTTTACTGGAAGTTTGTCTGTTTCTGTTGGTCCACACATCATGAAATGTTCACAATGTGACGGGCAGCTGACACTTTTAAACTGTGACTTCTCTCAATGGCTGTGCGTTTTGTGTTTTTATTTCCTTTTCTGTGTAGGAACCTGCTCATCGGCACAAACTGACAGCATCAGCTCACTGCATCCAGAATCCACCATCAGCTGCCATCTCCAGTTCACCAGCGATGCAGTCCACTTTTCCGCTCACGATGTCTACCAGATAAAAACCTCTTTTGATACCACGACAGGTCTGTGAATTTCATTTGAAAATATCCATATGATTAATAAGCACATTAATATGTTCGGTTTACTGAGTTGCTGGTTATTAGGTACACCTGCTTTGTACCCGCACTAACTGGCCGTTATATCAGGTACTCCTGAGTTATTTACCATTGCGCACTTTAGACATGCTTAGTTTGTTGATAATCCTTATAGGCGTTCCCTCAGTTATTATAGCTTATCTTAACCATTTTTGTTTAGCTAGCGTTATACTTCAAAATCAATTTTGATGCAAACTAACACCTAAACAATGTGGTAGTTTGAGTCTGATTTCCTTTGGCTGCTACTGGTCCTAATTACCACAAATTTTGTTTTGAGACCTCCCCCAACTACTATTGGTCCTGTTCACTGCATCATTTGTTTTGAGGCCTCCCCCCCAGTATTGACTGATCCCATTCACTGCATTGTTTTTTCTAAGACATCCGCTCCCAATGGCTATTGGTCCTAATCACTACATTGTTTGTTCTGAGACCTCACCGTGACTTTGATTGGTCTAGACATCACGTGATGCATCTCCTGGTGCTTCACTTGTCACTGCATAGTGTCAGCCACTAAAGCTGCTGAGAGAGAAAGATGGTAGTGGTAGTTTGCTTTTGTTTGGTTTTTTTGGCATTTAGATACTGCCAGCTTAAGTCATCCACTTCATCACTGTTCAATCTCTGACCACAAGACTGCTGCTGACTGATGTTTTAGCTGTCTGGTCAGTCCTATGGTGGTCACTTTCTGGAGGGAGGGGCTGATGAATTGTGCAGCAACAGACTACAGTAAGCAATTGTAAACCTACAAAGTGCACCTATTTGGTAAATGTTTCTGATATAATGGCCAATTAGTGTATGAGGTACAAGTACCTAATATAATGGTAACTGTGTGTGTATATAGAACATGGTTTTATGAAGGAGTGGTCTTTGTTTAAAAATATGCTCATGAACTACAGCCATTGGACCTCATCTGAAGTGCTGCAGTCAAATACTGTCCTCCGTGGCTTAGCCGCCTGATTGCAAGCGAGCTAATTGTGTTAGGGAGCGCTTTTGTGCTGCATTTGCTTATCTAAGTGGCAAATCACACAGGGGCCTAACCAGTCGACTGCAGCCTATTTAAAGTCCTAAATACTCTGTGTGGAAAGCGCTCTTGCTGAGCCAGAACTACACAGACTGATTAGTATGCAGTGTGATGGGCACTCAATTTTAAATCAGGACACAATCAGTTGTTCTATTGCTTGATTGATATTTTCCCTATATGAATTTCATTTCCTCTCATAATTCTGTGGTTATATTATGTAAGTTACTTGCGTACAGTTTAAAGACAGTACTGTCTTTAATCTACCTCCTGTTGTACTCCAGGCTTCTACAGTTGTGTGCTGACCTATCGGCCCATGACAGACCAGCAGATCAAGGTGCTGTCCATGTCCATGACAAATGTGGTGGTGCGTGCTGCCGTGGAAGGCAGCCATTTCTCCGGTGAGCAGGTCGCCGTTCAGCTGCCCGTAAGCCCGGGCTTCTACGCTGACCAGACGGACATCATCCTGAGCAGCCAGCACAGCTCTGCTGACCTGACTGTTTACGGAGCCTCAGCAGCTCTTCAGCACCTGGAGGTAACTTTTCTACCTGTTCATCTTCTGGATCATTAAGTATTAATGATGCACTGAAATAAAAAAATCTTCATCTGAAACTGAAATTCAGGACACGCTTAGCCAAAAAAACAAAAAACCAAAACCCAAAAAAGCTGACCGTTTACCCTTAATTAAAATTATCACAGTATATAGGCTACAGTATGTGGCGTGAAATTTAACGTTCTTGGCAACAGAGAACATTGGTCATCCAAGGCAGTGAATTGCATTCTTTTTTTTATACTTTGCTCTTTGGCTCTCTCTTTTGTGAGTTGGTGTTTTTTTTGTTTTTTTTGTTTTGTTTTTTTATTAAATCAAACACTAAAGCCACAGATGCTGTGGCATGCTCACAGAGACTTGGTTTTCTGCTTCTGTTGTTTTACTGTGTATTGAGCCGGAGGTCATGTTTTCAGGCAGTGTCAAATCTGAAGTGGAGACATTCTTTGGTGCTGTAGTCCCTCTTGATTCTCAACATGAGCAGAGATTACAAATCGTCCCTCCTAGAAACCACAAAATGGCTCCACATGTTTAACATTTTCACTGTAGATCTGGAGCTCAAAGTGTTTGAACAAACAGTATTTGTAATTATTTGCTGTTTAATTAAGTCTGTACTGTGTAGTTAAATTTATGTTACCTAGTTCACTATTTCTCATCTTCATTAGTTAAAAAAATGTTCACTGCATCCCAGTTAAGTGTGGTTTAGAACAGTTGTCTAAAAAGTATGTGCACATACAACATCCTCCAAAAGTATGTGCACATACAACATCCTCCAAAAGTATGTGCACATACAACATCCTCCAAAAGTATGTGCACATACAGCATCCTCCAAAAGTATGTGCACATAAAACATCCTCTAGAAGTATGTGCACATACAACATCCTCCTGGTGTTTTAGAGCAATGTAACATTAATGTAAACTGCTCATATAACCGCTTATATAATTTTTGTAAGCTTGTTTTTATGTAAAATAGTTTTAACATGTAAAAAAATTCCCAGTTGTGGATATTCTAAATTCAGTTTATTTAGAAAAAATGTGAACTTTCACCATCCAACAATCTAAAATGTTCTTAAAGTGTGCTGATCTGGTTTTAAATAGAAAAAAAGAGTAAACACAAGAAGTTTTACATTATTGTAGTTTTTATTATCCTAGAACAAATGAGCCTTGCTGTTGTTCGTCATATAGTATTTGTAGCTGTTTATGCACTGCCCATTGATGGTTTTTCTTGTGTACTCTGTTATGTTTAGGTGAAGTCGAGCTCGCCCTCCATTGTGGTTCAGGAAAAGGAGGTTTCCTACAGTTATCCGAGCTTCATCAAATATACAGTCAGCCTAGTCAGCCCACCAGGAACGTCATCTGCCACTGTGTCTATATCGAGTGCCTCCAGCGGCCAGGTTCTGGTCGTTCCTGTCACAGTAATAAATGTAGCTGATATGAGCACCTCAATGAAAGGTTTGTTACATCTCACTCATGTATAGTTAAGGTTGTAGTTGAAGAAATAAGAATCTGTTAATATAGTGCTCATGACACTATTTAATTAGACTTTACAAAAGAAACTTAACAAATGTGATCAAGCATGAACACGAGTGAGTATTACACATATGTTAACTACAGTATCTGGAATATTTTATAGCAATGAACATCACAGACCCAAAGTTCTTTTTTTTTCATTTGAAGTAAATTAAGCCAATTTGCCAAAAAACAACACTATTGTATTGTGTTGTGTAGTATTGTTTGTTAACAGAATCAATTTGTGCTACATTATTGATGCAGAAAATCTAGTCAAACCATTTTATTCTGTTAATGAACATGTTACACTAAAATTCTCCATGCTTGTTTCTTTTTGAAAGGTTTGGACTTCATATCAACAGTGCACTTGCTGGCTATAGATTCCAGTCTTTTTCTTTTAAAAGCAAAATGTATTATTGTGCATCATTGTTGTACATTTTTAGAAGGTCAGATGTTTATGAAGATTTATTATATACTGATCATTTAGAAGGAAAATTATTTATTGGACCTAATGACTGCTTAAAAACTTGCACTCTGTCCTACAGTCAGTGCTGTTGGAAGTGAAGGAGCTGGGATTCTCCAGCAGTTTGTGGACTCATACCAAGTAATGTTCTTCACCCTCTTTGCTCTTCTGGCTGGTACAGCTGTAATCGTGATTGGTAAGTGCCACTGATGCAACTGTATGCATGTTCTTATTGTTGTCATACAGCAGTATTTGCAGTTTACAGTGTACTTTATAATGAATAGTTCTGGTTTTAAAATCTGATTGTATGAGCCTCTTTCACAGCCAGTGTAAAACTCAATATACACACAGTTAACCCCATACATCAGCTGAATTCTGTATTAATGCAAGTTATTAAAAAGTTATTTTACAGATTATGCTAAACATTATGCTGTTCATGGAATAATTTTTATCATGTTACTTGGCAACCATAGTCTTTTTCTCAGTCATTTTACCTTGATTAAGGGGCTTTGCGTTGTGTCTAACAACACTCTGGTATCCCTTGAAGAAATGGTTTGGTAAAAAATCAATTTGCACAATTTTCCTCTTACCTCAGAAGAATTTGATTGACCAAGACTCGTTTGGTGTCCAGATTTTGCCTTTTGCACTTTAGCTACGAGGCTAACTTTGCTAACAAACACTAGATGTCAATACCCAAGGTCACCCAAGTCTGTTCCAAAAATACATCCATAAAACTTCCTTAACCCACTCAAACCATATTCAGGTCTTCATTAACGTTGCACATACTTGGTGATGTGGTTTAGAATATGCCGGTGTGTAAGTGAACGCTGCAAGTTTATAGTTCACAGTAAGTTCACTCTGACTTAAACCCTATCAACAACTTTATGGAACCTTAATGAAGACCTGGATGCCATTTGAGCCAACTGAGATTTTTTTAGATGTATTTACCAAGAAAAGATTTGGGTGACTATTGACTTCTAGTGTTTGTAACATCAGCCTCTTAGCTCCAGTTAAAAACTGAAGAAGCAAAATTTGGACATGTCTTGGTTGATCAACTACATCTTGGGTAAGTGGAAAATTGTGTAAATTTAGATTTTTTCACAAGCTGTTCTTTTAACTGTGGTAAAACCACTGTAACACACACCCTCTTGTCACTTATTATTTTAAGGTGTAGCCTAATAAACCATTTAATAAATAGAGATGGCAGTGCTGATGGTCTTGTCTTCTCTTGCAGTCTGCCACGCACTTTTCTCCCCACGAGACCAACCAGTTCACCCTGCCTTTATCCAGAGGTCACCGCCTTCACCAGGTACTACAGAGGCTTGTTCTTGTTGACTTTTGCCTTAAATGTCATTTGCCTGTTTACACGATGGCATGTGATGCAAACATTTGTGTTTTATATGTTAATGGATCCTTTTCACACACCATATTCTATCTAGCCATCATAGTAGTGGCAGCACTCATGAATGAGAATGTAGAGGACTCACTTACTCTGTGTGGCCAAAAGTATGTGGACACACTTTTGCAGCCATAACAGCCTCTGTTCTTGATAAGGATATAAAAATGTTCTTTTAAATTCTCATTTATAAATGCTGCCACTGCTGTCATGCCTTATATGCCTTATGAATATGTATTATTCAGGGTCATGTGATCTTCTTGCCATCAGTATAACATTGTGAGCCAGGAAAATAGTTCACAGCATTGCTTGATTTGCCCAATTTTAAGGATAAATTTGAGCATATCTTGCAGTGACTTCCTAACCTTATTGCTGTTTTCTGATCTAGCCACACCGGCTGCAAGCCCCTTCAACCACACTATGGCCTCGAACGTGAAGGGTAGCCCGAAGTTGCGTCTGTTTTCGCCCGACTACAGCTCGCGATGAAAAAGAGACATGAAATAATCAGTCTTTCAGAAGTGCCTTCTCTGTGAGGATAAGATTCGAAGATATTCGCTTGTGTGCATAAAGTAATCGCTTTCTGAATTACAGCTTGAGTTTGTGCTGAATAAGGATTTGTTGCTGCACTGCAAATCTGAACTGTCAATGTTCTTGCAAAAAGTGAGTGTGTTGTGTTTTAGTATATGTGTGTGGTATTACCAGTTATTGCTTTTTATTTCTTTTTTTTTCTTATGTTAAGTTTGATTTACTGTTTGCTTTTTGTTTCATTGTGTAAAACTAATTGATTATTATTTATCACCTTTTTTTCGCTGTGCCAGTTTTATACTTTTGCCACTTATATTTTTATTATAGTGGACTGTACATGTGAATGATTTGAAACTCAGGACAAATCTTCCAGTGGAAACACTGCTGATCTGATATACACAGTGTAGCATATTATATTGTGAATAGTATGACCACTGAATCCGTCCAAAAACAGTCTTTTCTTAATGCAGAATAATATCGGCCAGTCTGTACGATCTGTGATATTGTTTCTACTGTTTATTTAGAGGATCAGAAATGGTTTATTTTATGATCCAGTATCGTGCAGCTTCTCACCTTGACTGATGTGAAACGTGAAGTCCTTGAACGACCTGCTAAAAACTTGAGTTTTGATTTTATTGTGATAAAATACTTTTTATGGTCAGTTCCTACTGTAGGTTCTGACTGAATACAAGATTACAATAGCAGTTCTGAAGGAGCTCCATGGGCGTAAAGCTCGTACTGTTTAAGTGAGCGAACAAAGTGCTCTCATTGTGAATTGTGAATCATTTGCATTTGATTTTTTTTCCCTGCATACCTCAGTGGGCAGGGATCAGGAGCCATGAAGTGACTTTGTGGCCCGTAAGACTGCAGCGTCGTATAAAATGAGGAATCAGTTTTTGTGTTTCAGTTTGCTTCAATTTTCTGTTCCTAATGAACTCTCCATTTGTGTATTGCTCTATTTGTGTATTGCTCATTTTTTTCCAAATGTCAGTTTTATGTTGTAAAGAATTTTGCCTTTCTCATCTTCTGAAAGAGTTTGAAGTTAGAGTGTATATATCAGAATACAAGCCTGCCTGCCCTTAAAAGAATATACATCTATATATATTATAGAACGCTTTTTTGTAATACTTGTTTGGCTGATCTTTGCTAAATAAACATCCTTTTTAAAATACTGATGTTTCAGTCGTTTTTTTTAACTTATGCCCCATTCAAGCTGAATTAGTTTTACCTTGGGAGGTGCTGCAACTCGGGTGATTACAGATGAGATCTATGGTTTTAATCCAGTATGAATCTGCCAAGTCTGTAGTTTTAACAGGTCTGCTAAGTACTGTTTGCAAAGTGTATTATGTTCTATAATTCACCGAACTTTGAGATTCCTCAGTAATAGCAGTCCTGTTTGAACAGACATGGCAGTATTATAGTAATAAAACCGGGTAATAGATTTTTTTTTCTTGTGACCTGAACACAACCAAATGGAGCTTGATTTGACCCAATTCCTTAATCCTCAAGTTCATGACAAAACTACTGAAATCTACAGAAGTGCAGTTCCCTCCTGCTATGATTGTGCACCATCATTTGGAATTTCCGTTGACACACACTGTAATGAGATGTGGTCTCCTCCTGCGTCCAGTGTCTTAGTTTCTTTCTGTGGCACCATATGTGCTAATTTTCACGTGTTCTGAAGTGTGTCGCCTGTCACGTTATGCTGAGGTGATATCTGCACAGTGTTGTTTTGATTCACGCTATTTAGGGTATTTTGAGGAAATTACACAGACCCTTTATCCTGCAGGAATCGGCCAATCAAATCATGCATAAATTACATTACCGGACCTCCTCTGGTAAAACTAATCCAGTTCGAATAGGGCTTTTGTTAGACTTTCTTCTACATTCAAAAAAGGAAGAAATCTCATTGGCCTCTCACGACTACTCAAAACCAGTTAAGATGATGAATCTGTTGTTATCTATGCACATTTTCTATGAATCTGCTTAGTGATTTATCAACAGTTTGAATGCTAAACAGAGTAATAATATAGCTCTGTTTGGCAGGTCGAAGATTCTCCACAGGGGGGAGCTATTAGACCTAACATCTCTGAAAGAGGAAACCCACACCAGCAGGGTCTCACAAATGAATGTATGCATGTGGGTACAAATTGTATTTAGAGGAAGTAGAAGGTTTTGTTTCACTAGGATTAGGTTGAACAGCTCGCCTGGCAGCTAACAGGCTACTAAAATACCTTTTGAATGTCTGTCTACTTTGAATTCTTCATGTCCCTGTTTAAGCAGAGCTGGCTTAAGTAAGATTCCCAATGTGGGAAGTGAACATTGTTGCTAGTGTGAAATTAGCATTATCGTACTGTATACTCTATCAGCAATATAGTGAAGAAATGAGGCTGTGAAAAAACCTGTCTACCAAAACCATCCACATCAGACAAACAGCACTTTGGTTGCTAGTCCTGTTTTCTCTGTAGCTTTAAATCATTTTTGAACTCCAGTGTTAGAAACTCCCTTTTCACTTATTTTTCTATGACTTTTTGCATGTCAGTTGATTGTTTTCTATCTTATATCCTCAGAAATATCTCCTGAAAAAGGAATAACCTTTACATACTGGCCGTTCTGTCTTCTGCACAGTACTGCTTTTCAGGAGGTCATAACCAGAGAACTTTGCAACTGTTGGTTGAATACTTGGTGGCTACTTTAAATTGAAATATGCTTCTTTCAAAACAAGGCGATGATTTGTAATCTGCTTTGAAGGAAGGGACAGATCCGGTGTGGCGTTCTCTTTGAAAAATTGAATTTCAGTATTGCTGATAAAGGGGGGCAAAGCTGGACAGTGGATGTAAATTACACTTGGATCGCCTTGAGGCTTTTCACTGAAAGTTAAAGATGAAATATTCGAGAGAAGCCCTGGGTTATTTCCATGGCGTCCATTTGTTCAATATCGTTTTAAAATGAGCAGTGAGGGGGCAATACGCCCTTCATGACTCCATTGTTCTGGGGGGCAGCTTGACCTCAGGGTCAAGGTGGAGCAACTGACAGGTTTCATTGAGCCATGGAGGAAAGAGCGATTGTAAAATAGGCTGAACGCGGTCAGCATGGCACAATAACACTGACATGAAAAGGGCCTATTTTCTCACAGCGTGAAGCGGAGCCTGACAGAACTCTCATCCGCAAATTTATTTCAGGACGCGTCCCTTTGTTGACCTAGAGGTTCTGGGTTTCTAGAATCATCCACAGGAATATGGGGAGCGATGCTTTTCTGAGTTTTGAATTTAGGCAGTCTGAGAAACTCCATATCAGGCATTTTGATGTTCTTCCAGTTTTGTAGCTCACCATATTTGCAAATTTGTGTTTTTTATTTTATTTACATACAGTCAAATGCAAAAGTTTGGGCACGCCTGGTCAAATGACGTGAGATTAGTTCACACATCCTCTACAGAGAACATACTTCTGCACATTTTAATGCACAATTACTGTTTATTTGCAGAATTTGACATATTGGGGAAAAATGGAACATAAAATGTGGCCTGTGCAAAAGTTATGGCACCTTTTACATTTGGTGCTTTCTTTTTATCCAGTATGTTAAATTCAGCAGAAGAAATTATGCAGTAAAATTTGCAGAAAAATGTCACACATGCTCTGCAGAGAACACACATATACAGGTATGACTTTTCTGTAAATGGACATTGTTTTTAAGGGGGGCTTTTCCTTCATTGTCCCCTGTAGTTACATTAATTACATTGTTTTTTAAATTGTACATAAATCTATTGATTATTACTACCTAGGCAATTTACATATTAAATTGTTTACCGATGCACACTTGGAAAAGGTTGGTTGAAGCAGCATTATTACCTGCTCTTGATTACAGTGATGTGATTTACAGATATGCATCTGTTTATACTCTATATAAACTTTAGATTCAGTCTATCATTCAGCTCTCATCACTGGTGACCCCTACAACACCCATCATCACTTACTCTATGAAGAAGTAGGTAGGTCCTCTCTGGCTGTGGGTCAGGAAACACAGAGGCTTTTGTTTATTTATAAAGCGTTTGTTGGCCAAATGCCATCGTGTATCACATTTATGCTTACTGTAAATAATGGAAATGTCAAACTCGCTCTAGTGACTCTAGTAAACTCCCTTCAGATGCCGAGTTTTTTCTTAACTGGGTAACTCTGCTTTTAGCTGTAGTGCACCACACACATATTATCTAAGCCGCTTGTCCTCCTGGGTCGCGGGGGTTGCTGGAGTCTATCCCAGTGGTCATTGGATGGAAGGCAGGAAACATCTTGGACAGGTCACCAGTCCATCACAATGTAGACACAGAGATATATACATTCACATTTAGGGGCAATTTAGCACAGAAAAGACCCTGGCCGCCCGGCCGGGGAATCAAACCCAGACCCTTCTTGCTGTGCACCAGCCAGCTGGAATTTATTACAGGAGACTCTAAAGCTGTGCTCACTAGTGTCACTCAACCATTTAAACTTTTAATCTCTAACCTTCTTCACTCAGCACACAGCTGTTCTGTTTGGTCTTTGGTGTTATTATTTTTTCAATTTAATATTTTAAGCTGAGTTTTGGGTGTTTTTATCAATTATTTTTATTTTATCTGTGTTATATTTGGTAATTCTTACTTTTTTTCATTTTTTATTATCTTTTTTTTACTGGTTTGATATGTTCCTATTTTTCACTTTTCTATTTTTAATCTATTTATTCTTGTCAATCCTTTGTTCTCTGTTCTAAAACTTAGCTCAGTTGCCCATGAGGGTCACCCTCAATGTACTCTGAGTTTAAATAAAGGTTTATAGACAGACAGACAGACAGACAGACAGTTAGATAGATAGATAGTTAATCTAACTGTACATGGTGCTGCAGTTACAGTGGCTAATACTGCTGTCTTCCACTTGATAAACTGCAGTGATTCCCTGCCTGGTCAAGCACACCACTTGATACCAATATAGTCCTTGGAGCATCTGCCAAATGCATAAATATAAATCTACAAAAGCAAAAAGGTGAAAATGCATATAAAAGTGTGTGTCCGTCAGGCCGTTTCCTAACATGAGACATGAGCATGAAATTTTGAAATATGCATCATTGTGAAAATTGGCAACTGGTTTGATATTTTTTTTCTTTTTTATAAATTATTTATTCATTTATTCTTTTCACTGTGCACTCTGCATCATTCTGTCACAGAGTTGCAGGTATGAATGTTCTAAACTCAGCATATGTTTTGTTGAGCTGGATTGAAAGTGTCTACCATGTTTCAGGAATCGTTCCGCTCTATAAATTTTGCCAGCCTGACCTGGCACAGCGCCGTGCACCACTTGGACGGTGGTCGTCTCAGGTGGAGCTTCAGAGAAGAGAGCTGCAATTAACACCTGACCACAGGCCTGTCTTTCACCACGGCCAGCTCTGGCATCTGCCAGCCTGTGAGGCCTGGTACTGTGCACCTGTAAGTCAACACTTGCCAGTGAGGCTAATCACTCCGCTGGCCATTCAGTTGTTTTAATTAAAAAGGAACAACATAGAAAGCCAGTGGAAAAAAACATTGCACAGGGAAGTGAAATATGAAGTGTGGATCAGATTCACACTTCACACACACCAGCCACACCCACATTTCTCATTATGAGTCTGTTTTAAGAATATTCTAAGATTTCTTAACCTATTTCTAGACACTTGAGCTCATTTTCTAACTAAATTATCTCTTTGTTTTAAGAGAGGATGCTGAAGGAAGTCAGCTTGTCTGCTAATGTGTTCATCTTATATACTAGAAGTAAAATTGTCAACAAATAATGAGAAATATTAGATATATTGCTCACATTTAAGATGCTCTCACGTTGCTAAGATAGCATTTTTACATTTTGGGTTTGTCGCCCTTCTTTGATAACATCTCAGTCAATATATTGACAAGTATGCTTTACCACTTTTTTTCACAGTATGAAAAATGTAAAGATATATAGAGATATAACCCACTTGTAAGGGGAAAGGCAAGACCTGGTAGACCACCAAAACTGCCCCCATCAGATAAACAGCACTCAACGCTTTCATCATTGAGAGAGAGGAGAAAATCAAGCTACTTCAAATCTGAAAAAATCCACAGGTGTTTCTGTCCATCCTTCCACTGTGAGAAGACAACTCAGCGCTGTGGGTCTGAAATGATGTGTAGAAGAAAAGGAGACAGACACATCAAAGAAAGAAGCTGAACAATGGACTGACCACCCCAGAGTCCAGACCTCAACATCACTAAATGTGTTTGGAATTACTTCAGAAGATGATCAACCAACTTCTAAGACTGAACTTTATAGATTCTCCTTGAGGATTCTGAGTAATTTCCTTTTAAATATGTTTTCTGCCTTTTTCTGCTTTTGCTTAGTGATCATTTAGACTGGAAACTGAATAAATGAAGGGTGGTCTCTGTCTTGGGCAGTGGAAAAATGAGCACTCTCAAGTAGAAGTAAGGAACCAAATATATATTACACCTTGGCAATGTAACCCCGTTGTGTGTGGACCGCCAGCTGTAAATATGAGGTGGCATTTCTAAGCTGTCATGCTTGAAAGCCACCAGCAGAGGGACATAAGATGTTCCTCCGGTTTCTCTTGAGGAAAAAAGTTGATCATTTACAGCTGAATTAAGATGAATGACTTTTAAACAGTCTATAATGGTGAATGATGGAAAGCACTTCTAGTGTCCTCTGCCTTGCATTTCCTGTTTATCTCTTCTGCTGTCTGCAAACTGTATGTGGGATGAACTGTAATCAGCTTGAATAGCACATTGCAGCCTCCAGTCTTGGTGGTCAGTGTGGGATGCCGTAAACTCAGGAGAGGTCAGTGTTAAGGCTCTATGCAGAGTGCATCTCACCATGACTCAGCAAAATGTGTTTATTGATTTATCATGTATTTATTGATTTTGTTTCAATTAGACATTCATTCACATTCATTTGCACTCATTTGTTATTATTGTTTATTTTTGTGTAGATTCTTAAATATGGCTTTTCAAAGGTTCTTCAGTAGAGGAAATATTCTGTTTAGAAGGTCTAAACATTTCATGCTTAAATGGTGAAATGGTTCTTCAGATTGGGTTGTACATGGTTCTACATAGAACCTTTTGGAAAATGGTTCTATGTAGCACCCAAAAGGGTTCTGCTATTGTTACAAGCTTGACATCATAACAATCCTTTTTTGGTGCTAGCATGCAAAGAACCATTTAAGCATGCAAATGGCTGTATATAGAACTTATTGCTCTAAACAGAACCTTTGCCTTTACTAAAGAACCCTTGAAGGACCATAATTTTTAAGAAAACATGCAAATTAATTAATTTATTAATTAATTACTCAAACAGAGCCCAGAGTCCACAGAATAATAATTCAATCAATAAATCATTAATTATTATTGCATTAATATTGCACATTGCAACGTTGAAATATTGACCACAGCAAAAGAAAGAATTTCTGCAATGATACACTGGAACGTCCTGTACATTTGGCTCGTGCGCTCGCGCGTGTCCCTAATGCCTTCTCAAAGGCTTCAAAGCCTTTCCACAGTGTCACAATCCTGAAACTGAAGGTTAGTGTTGGTGCTGCAGGCGTTCTTTGTTTTCCCCACCGGTTTTAAGACAAACCACGCCCCCTTGACCGTGATTGGCTCGTATTGCCCCTCCTCCTACGCGGAGACTGGCTGCTAGTTCATCGGTAAAAACGTTGAGGATGAACTGTTACGCATTTCTAGCTCACTAGGGCGGGACTTCGTCAGCCAATCCTAGGACGGTGGGCGTAGCCGTGTCCGAAAATGGGTGGGAAAGAAAAATAACAACGCGTGGTGCAGTCAGTTTGGCTGTGCGGACAGGAGCAGAAACTTCGGCGCCCATCTTCCACTTCAGCTCCAGCGTTAGCGATGGCCGTGAAGCGGGGCGTGTGGCTGCTTTACGCAGCAGCAAACATCAGAGACGTGTATGTCCGGACGAGCCGAGCCTGAGTGCGAGCGCGAGCGTGATGGAGAGTCCGAGCGAGAACCCGAGCAAAGCTGCGGAGTATCTGACCGAGCTGAACAGGATCATAGAGACGCAGCAAGAGCTGCTCGCCAAGCAGAGGCTCCGGATAGAGGAGCTCGAGCAGCAAGTGGCAGATCTGCACAGTGAGAACGCCGGTCTGAGAGACGAGTACCAGCGGCATCTGCTCACCTGCAGGCTGCAGCACAACAGCAGCAGCGGCGGCGGCAGCGGCAACGCGCTGGGGTGCATCCAGGAGAACGCCGCGCACGAAAAGTAAGAACCGCCACGCGCCAGGCATGACAATAACGCAGGGACTCGTGCATGGATATCAATCATGCAATCAGTAGTGCAGTCGTGTCAAATATGCAATTATATAGTGCAATTAAGTCAATAATGCATTAATTATGGCACTTACGTCAGTAATACAAATTAATCCAGTCGCGTCAACAGTGCAATGGCATTAATGAAGTAATGCCAATAGTGCAGTTATATAATTGTTGCAATCAAGTCTATAATGCAGTCATATTAATAATGCAATTAAATCACTCATACAATTATAACAATAATTTAGTTAAGACCCATGTAAATAGTAAAAGCATATTAATAATGCAGTCATATCAAATAAAATGCAGCCAATATCAATAATGCAATCTGTCAATAATGCAGTTGTATTAATCCAACCATCTCCACAATGCAAATAATGTTAATGCAGTGATGCCAATAATGCAAGTATTAAAATGTAATTAAGTCTATAATGCAGTCATATTAATAATGCAGTTAAGTCACTAATACAGTTCTAACATTATTTCAGTTAAGACCCGTGTCATTAATAAAGGCGTATTAATAAGGCAATCATTTAAAAAATGCAATGATATTAATGCAGCCATAGCAATCATTCTCCATAATGCTATCATATCAGTAATAGCCAGTGATGCATATTAATCCAACTGTATCAATGCATTATCAGTGCCGTTATGTTAATAATGTAGTTATATAAATAATATAGTAATTAAGTCCATAATGCTGTCTTATTAATAATGCAGTCATGTCAATAAAGCAGTTTCAATAATGCATATATATATATATATATATATATACTGGGACAAAAATGCAGCCATGTCAATAATTATGTCAATCTTGCAATCTTATTAAACCAGTCATGTCAATAATCAAATAATATTTATGCAATTATGCCAATAATGCAATCCTTTCAATATTGCAATCATGCCAGTAATTCAGTCCTATCAATAATGCAATGATGTCAAAATAAATATGCAATAATGCATTGACAATAGTAAGATCTCAATGCACTTCAGTCACACACATTCCAGATGGGCTCCTGACTTCACGGTGCATGGTCGTCTCAGTCAAGCATGTACAGCCACCCCTAGAGGAAGAGAACCGGAGTCAGATGATGTAGTTTATTACAGTTTTGATGCAGTGGGATATTAACACACGTTTCTGGCACCTGACATCATGACTCACCGTGGGTGGTGCAATATAAGTGTAAGTTGGCCTAGTACTCGTCCGATAGCAGGCAGCTTTAGCTCTTTGTATATTTTGTATATTATGATATTGTATATTTGATATTAAGGATCCAGTTTCTGCATGATCCACATTCCATGCAAGCATTTTAAAACAAGCTGCTGGTCAGGCTAAGTGAAATGTATCTCCAACTTTAGGGTTCCTACTGAACCAGAAAAGTGTTTTGCATTCAAACTATAAGCTGCTATAATGTTGTCATATGAACATCCACACAGAATACTTTGGTAGCACTTCAGCCATGCTACATAGCATTGACATAACCATACCATAAGCATGTCACGAGAGATGTCTTACACTGTCATGACAGAGTGTGTTTAGTAATAACACAGTGCCATTATACCAATATTGTTCACTGTCATAACATGTAATATTGTTTGGAGGACAACTAGAGTACATAGCAAAAAATAGTATGTGACATAAGCTGTCATAACATCAAACATTATGGCATGTGTCATTACACTGTTATATTATTGAACAAAATCTGTTATAACACCTCATGACAGCATATAACATCTGTCACAGCACGTTTATGGCATGAATATGTCAATGTTATGTAGCATGGTTCAAGTGTGGTGTTACTAGTGTGGTTCGATATTAGATTAGAAAATTACCAGCCCATTTGCAACCATCATACTGCACATTGGTCAGTGTGCATATACTTAAAGGGGAATTCCACCGTCTTTTTTTTAATCAAACTTTGAGTAAAATTCTAGCTTTGAAATTTAAGAGTGGTTTAATATGAAATGGTTCATTGTAGAAAAACTTACTAATTCAGATTGCTTTCCAGTGGTGGTGAAAGAAACCAGAGATCACAGAACGAATATAATCATTTAATTACTATCTAAAACCACCAGAGGACGGACAGGTCTTCTGAGTTTTTCATGTAATATTGGTGATGGTAAAATAGTGGCAAATCTGAAAAAATGTTTTCTATGGGGACTATTCTGTCTTACAACACCTTGCAAGTACCTTTCTGCCATTAAAATGTGAAAAAACAAAAGGAAAAAAAAAATTGTGCAGTAACGTTCTGTGATCTGTCTTTTAGAGGCATTCGAATGTCTGGTTCCTATCACCACCATTATGAACAATTCTGGTTGTACTTTTCTCTAGAATGAAACATTTCACATCATATCATTCTGAATTACTTTAATTATATAGGAAATTTGAATTGGTGGAATTCCCCTTTAGGTCATTGCAACACTTAACACACATAAAAACAACATTCATTTCATAAATATGACACCTTCAGACTGAATTTCTCAGACATTTCATCTGTCATCATCTTTCATCTCTGGAGCTTTAGTCCACTAAGTGCAGCTTGGAGAAGATTGTGGGATGTTGGTGGAATGCAGGGAAAGCTTTGGAATTGAGGCTGGAGCTGAAGCTTGGGTTTGTAATCTGGTTCCAGCAGGTTTATCACTTCAGCATTTCATTCTCCAACATAAAACACCATTATGTAGCAGGAACATCAGTTCTTATAGACAGCTTAGCTTTGAAGGAGAAACTAAGCAAAGGAGGAAGAGCTGATTAGCTGATGCTGATTGATGACTCTTTCATGGAGAGTCATAGTATACTAAGTCATGAAGGGAGAGTAAGAAGCTGTGGTTAATAAATGCACTCATTTGTCATTTTCATTTAGAGTGAGACATTTTTCACCTTGAGCAATCGTGTTGGTCACATGGGAGCAGCTAAATCTCATTTCCGTGTGTTGAACACTGCATCTGTTTGACTTTGCATGACCCTGACATGGCTTCTAGGCCAAGGTCAGCTGGTTTATGGAGTGCTGCTGTTGGCTGTCCAAACATGGACACGCATATGACCCTCTAACCCTCTGATATATATATATATATATATATATATATATATATATATATATATGTAGATAATTAGAATTAGAATTAGAAAATGTGAACAAAGAATTGTTGTTTACATACAATATCAACAAGTAATTTGACCAGAGGCTTTTGCTAACTTTTGCATATTATGTATATGTGTATGTATGTGTATGTAACGCAATCTTATGAATGAAGTCATGTTAGTAATGCAATACAAGCAGATCATTATTGCAGTTTTCTCATAATGCAGTATTGTCAGGAATGCAATCATATTAAATGGATATCCTTGCCTAAAACTAACATTTCATAGGTTGTAAAGTTATGTAATATTCTATAATGCAGCATTGCATCTCTATTTTGCATCCTTTTTGTATTTTGTCCAAGTCCTCTCACTACAAAACCCAGCATGCATTACTGCATTACATATATACTTCATACAACCATTGGGAATAACTCCCCCATGGCAATAAAGAAATCTCTGTATGGACCACTTATGTAGAGGGTCATAACTACAGTCATGATATTTGGCTTCCGGGCAGAAACATTAGCTATATGGCTTCCTTCTATATTATAGTTTTTCAAAAGATCCTCCCAGCTTCAAGATACATCATCAGATGGGGCTTTTCCTAGTTTTTAACTGGACAGTCTTGGGACTACTGCGGCACCACTGTGGGAGGCGAGTAAGCATGTTTACAACAGGTGTAGCAATGGTAACATTTTTCATATTTGCCTGTCTGCCCCTTTAATAATGCAGTTATATTCATTAAGCCATGTCAGTAAAGCAGTCATATCAATATTGCATCATGCTCACCTTCTTGTAAATGTGTAAGTTTGCTTTCAGAGCTAAAACTCTACAAGAAAAGCTTCTTTATAGCATTTTATGGCATTTACACCTGCTTGAAATAAAGGACATATCTGTAGTAATCTTTCTGTATGTATGCAGAGCATAATATTCCTGTGGTAATGAAACTTGCTCTTTTCTGCTGTGCTGTCCCTTTGGGACCGAGCGGCTGTATCTGCAGAGCCTCAATTAGTATGCAGGCTGTAGACAAATGGCTGTAAACACTATCTTAAATCTCTGACCTGCACACTGCCACAAGCCTGCAAGCTGATCACTTCTCCTCGCCTTCGTTTCTGTACAGTCTCTATAATCTTTAGCATAAAGACAGATCACATTGATTTTGGTGTTGTACTCTTGCTTTTAAGGGTTTTTGAATGAAACTTAATCATTAAATAGTTCCTATTGCTGTATTCAGTGTAGAACTGTGTGTTTGGGCTATAAATGTCAAAATTCTGTCAAAAAAATAATGAAACCTTTACAATAATCCTAATTTCTGTTAGCACATCTATGGGATTTCCAATGGTATGTTAGGGCTGACTCATGGTACCCATAAACATTTTTGGCTGTTCTACGTGACACACAGACATTTGAAACTTGTAAATTGGAAGCTTGTAATAGACATGAACATATACTTTATCTTGTATGTATCAGTTTTACATTCACTCTTGTAGCAAAGAATCCTGATGAAGAGCTGCTGCTGCCATTTTCCATTTCTAACAACTGACTGAAACCCGGCTAGGCTGCTGCTCTTATTCATAGGCACTTATATATCTAGAACTTCCAGAACATGTAAAGTGACATTTTTGTCCACAAAATTTGTCCTACTCATTGCAAATCAAACCTGATTGATTCCACTATCACTTCCTAATGATGTTGATGGTTAGTCTATCACATTAGGTCTTCAGTCCAGCTCCTGAAGGCCTAACCAATTGGAGAGTCTGCTTGGCAGTAATCTACCTAGATACCAAAGGGAAAAATATTCTGATTGGACAATTTTTCCTTGGGCCTTTCAAGTATTTTAACCCCTATGTTTCCAACCAAAATGTAACAAT